GTCCTTGCAAGCTGCATTATGAAGCTACTATTTATACTGCGGTTGTGTGCTATTTATTGTACGTGGGCATGTGCCAAGCTGGAGAAAGCAAAATAACAAAGGTAAACAATTAGTCTTCATAGGATATATCAGTGCTTACAACATGCACAAGGTTAGCTGTCTGGAAGTGTCTGTGGGTGTGGACTTCTGGAAGGACATACACAGGACATGCACTCTTGCCTGTACCGTGGTGTACCCTCCCTTTGCCACTTAGCGATTTTTCTGAGTGAAGCAGAGGCAGACGTTTCTGGTGCTGAGCACACTTTGTGACTAAGGACTGACCAGTGGCAGGTCTTCAGTGCACAGCCAGGAAATAACACAGAGGAAAATCATCAGCACAATCAAAAGTGCGTTTGGAACTGCACTGTCAAGGGAGACTTGTTGCACCCCGAAGGAGAAACCAACCGAGCCACTTCAGGCTGACAGTGCAAAAAATAAACAAATACCAGACAAACAAAATACCAGCCTTGAAGAAAGAAGTTTACATTTCTGAATACAGACATGCCATTTCTGACTCTGTCTTTTGAAAATCCTTTCAGAACTTAGTAAATGCCTAATATCTTTATACCCTAAAGGGTTTAGCATTTCCTAGTGATGAATTACAAAATTAATTTTAATTTTTTCTTTTTTTTACTTCTCTATGATATGAGCCTTGTTTAAGAGTTAGAGAACAGTTATCAAAATTGTACCCTAAAAAACAATCAGCATTTTAAACTCTTTGTAGGAAAGTCTCTAATTCAGACGTGGTGGATCTTTGCTCTGTGCCTTCACTGAAACTACAGTAGAACAGCATCTTAAATATGATCTATAGCACAGGGCAGAGACTGTCTTTGGAGGACAGGTCCTCATTGTAGTTTCTGTAAGATGTTCAAGATTTTTCAGATAGATCTTGCACCTGACAATGGAAATACATCTGTCTCACACAAGTAGTAGGTACATCCATTTTTGGATCAATTCTCCTGTGCCTACCCAACACTCTCTATAACACAATGACTTCTTGGTCTTCCCTGGAAAGATGAACAGGGGTTTTTTGTGTTTAAGAGATGGGTCTAGGCCAAGCAGGCTCAAGTCTGTGTGACTGACATAGATCAGGTTCCAGCCTAGGTAGTTCTCATTGTGAGCACATGAAGGCCCACCAGTATCTCTCTCCTATGCCCAAAAGCAGCTGCTCAGTGGCAATCAGTCTCTCTGACGTGTATGTTCCCTCTTGTACACTAAAGCCTTCCAAAAAAAAAATCTTGTGGGTATCAGGCAACCTCTGCAAAACACTATAACTTCATTTTTCCTCTGAAATGAATATTCAGCAAAAAAATTAATCCATCCAACCATCTTAATTATGACTATACACCAAACCAATATATGTGTATGTATATAGAGAGAAAGAGAGATGAAAATTTTATCTAAAACAATAGCACATGTTAACACTTATGAAAGTAGTGTGATTTCATTTCACCCTTTTGGATTTGATTCCTCTGGGTCTGATGTAATGCCTTTCACTGCTGACTATTCCCAGCTGTTGAAATGACCTTTGGGAACAGCAGCTTTCTGAGAGCTACTCTACCTCTCACTAGGTCTGAACCAGGCACAGTATGGCAGGCAGAGGCTATTGCTGGGTCTCACATATCAAATACACTTCAGGAACAAAGAATTAAATTAGGTTTAAATTTCTCTTGTAATTCACATTAGTAGTTTGATAATTTAGATGTCAGAAAGGTTGTGCATCAGTATAATGTCTAATCATGTAATGAATACTGGATATTAAAATCTCCTAGTCATACTTATGAAATACCTGAGATTAAAAGGTCAAAAGCAGTTTGCCTCCATTGCTTTGGCTGTGGGAAGCTCAAAACCCCAGTCCTGCAGCTGTAGGACACACTGTTTGAAGTTCAGGTGCCACTTTGATCTGACAACCGCCTATTTGAAGATGCTCACAAGGCCTAATGCCTTTACTATGGGAAGAATGACATTCATGTTCACTGTCACAGGCATGCATTAGATAGAGGTTAATGCAGGTTTTCTTTTGGTCAAGCTTCACAAGAGAGAAGCAAGTCTTGAATCAGAATTGTCAGAACTTTCCAGTTCAACTGAAAATTTTGACTTGTCATTTTGAAAAGCCTACAACATTATAAAGGTTCTTGTGTGTTTGGTAATGTCTATTAAAAGCTGTTCAATTTTCTAAATGTGAAAACGAGTCACATAATATTGGTAACAATTTAGGATTTTTTTCACAACACCCACTGACCCCAAAGAAAATGCAACCATCATCAGGGTGATGGAGATCTACCACTGAATGCCACTGCACTGGCTTACTCTACTGTTACCCTTTCTTAAAAGGCTAATATAATCTTTTGAGTCTTTTACCATATATGGTTCCAAACCTAAATCAGAAAAAAAAATATTAAAAAATCCTACCAGACCTAAGATTATTGTCTGTCTTGGAGAATGGAGACAGTTGGCAATATATCTGTTTCCTGCCAGAAGTAGTCAAAGAAATGTTCTTGAAACTGATAGCAATTATTGCCAGTTTTCACAAATCCTTTACTGCTGGTGGTCATCTTGCTAAAATAAAGCTCATACATGAACACTTCTGAGAGTTAGCTCACTGGGAGAAGCTGCAAACAGGTTTCCAGATGATCTGAGGATGTTTGAGGCATTTCTGAGGCGAAAGGCAAGTAAGTTGTTACACTCCTTCCTTGCTCCCAGGGGAGTAAGTGAATCTGCAACTCTTCTTGGGTCAGAACTTAGCCATGACCTTGGTGTTTGAACCCATACTTCAGGAGAGATGTTAGGATCATTTTGCTACTCCAAAGTGTCGACAGGAAAAACATGTGGTGATACTAAGTCTAGTATCCCAACAGGATTAAATTTCAGCCCTTGTCAGTTTAATTGAAGACTGGCCATGCCATATAAGTGCAAAAATGAGCATTTATTTTGACACCATCTTCCAAATTGGATCATTAGCACTAGCTGCAAATGGAGTACTGCTATTGAAAATAAGAAGACATTAAATCAATGGCCATTTCTCATAATGAGAACCAAGGCAGTGCTTTTCACCTTGTGAAAAGGGTGGAGTGGATTTTGTGCCTACCCAGCAACACACCCAAAGAAGCCCACAGACATCAGGGACAAGGTTAAGCCAGTTCACTGTCTGTGCTGAGTGTAAAGCCTCCCTTGCTCAGGGAATGTCATTCCCGCTTTCCTGAACTCCGCCTGCAGTATCTAGAGGAAAACGGGCTTGCATTGTCTTCCACTGCTCGCCCCAGGAAACATGATATCATTCTCAAACAAAAGCGGGAAAGCTGACAGATCTATTGAGATGGGTGTGACTACAGCACACACCTCGCTGGTCAGCCCCTGTGGAAAATGCAGTGACTGGCAACTCTTCGGTGCTGAGCTGTCTGTGCTCTCCACGTTTTTGTATCTAATCCCTTCAGATGGCTTTTGTTTCTCCTGTACTTGTGACTTAAAGAACGATGTTTGCTTTCTGTGTCAATTAGGTATGTGTCACCACGCAGAGAAACAGCAGAAACAAGGAGAAAGGGTTGGAGTAACTGGACTTTGTTTTCTTCTCTATCCATAATGCTTACAGCACCAGATATCTCCTAAAAGTGTAAATCTGGAAGTGATCTGAGGGCTAAACAGGTTGAATCAATGTGCAGCTAAACAATCAAGGAAGCGAAGCCACAAAAGAGGGATTGGTAAACAATATGCAGCCTATTACAGCAATTGCTAGATAAGAATGTTTCCAAACATGATTTCAGTAGATTATAAACGCTTTTTTTTTTTTTTGTCTTCATTAATTCCTAGCCCTTTATAGATGACAAAAGTAACATTTCACACTTATAATTTTACTGTTAACAGCTGTTAATATGCTGCCAATCAAGATCTGGGAAATGTAAAGAAAATTAAAAGCAAGTTGCATGACAATGAGGAATTCTCAGAAAACCCAGAATTTTGTTGGTACTTTCTTGTTTTCATTGCAGCACAGTTTGAAGTTTTAGAGCACATTACATTTTTCCTGTGAGGTGGAATGGAACAATCTATGCATATCTCAATTAAATGGTTGGGAGTGAGTTAAGAGTCTAAGGTTGCCATGAGTTGTATTCTGCTTTTTGGCAGAAATATTGTTACAGAAGAAACTGTCTAGATAATCAAAATAAGGATTGTAAAAGCGATACTCAAGTGCTGAGCAGCTACAAGTCTGATGGCAAGAGTGCAGTCTTCCTGAGGACTCTGCATGTGATAGGTACAGCAAAGTATCTCTAACAGTAATGCTACAAATACTTTAAACTAAATTTGCATTATTATAATCTTCCTGTATACCTTTCTGCAGATATCTCTTATGACTGACTTCTGACTTGCTGAAATAATGACATTTGCTGATAATATTGAATCACTGTTTAATTGTGTTTGAAGTGTTTTCAATTGATCTTGTATAATGTGCATTTTTTTCCTCTTTCATCCACTTACTTTCATTTAAATTCCAGTTGTGGAATCTCGTCTAAAATCAGATACTGGAATACCTAGACACATCAACTGCACAGCTAGTTCATAAAGTCAGTCACAGAAAAAGTTGACAGTTAATCTGTACTTAGAGCAGATTTCTTAGGGAAAGACACCGGTGGTTTCAAAGCTATGAGATGAATGAAACAGTTAATACCATTAGACAGAAAAGAAACCTTATTGCAACATAAGTATGTGTCAACAAATTCAACAGTTAAAAGCATAGCAGTGTGTTCTACATGTAGCTAAATCATCCCTAATAACTTGGCACAGTCCTGCCCTCGCTCACAGTGAAGGCTGTGCACAGAGAGAAGTGGACTCACTGAAACAAACATGAGTGCTTAAATCGGTGAAGTACTGGAGTAAAGGATAGAGAGTCATGCGTTTCATCTGCACATTGTGTAAGAAATAAGAAAGCAGTGACAGATCCACTACAGTTGTTAAAAGCCAAGGCTTACCTGAAATCAACAGGCTGAATCCATAGAGAACTAGGTGTGCTAGAGGGTCCATGCTTTCCAAAATATATCCATCCAGTTCTTACAGTCGCTCATGGAGTATCCTTTCCTCGGGGTAGACCTTTACCAGTTCCTCCTGTGCTGCATGGTACACTGTTTACAAGTCACAGGCAAGAAATCAGAGCACTGGCGCAGGCTGGAACAGTCTCATTCCCTGCCGTCTGAGTACAGGGAGTTTAAGTTCCTTTTTCCTGTTTCCTTTGTAGATTAGGATGGGAAAGGCAGGATCTTAAAGGCATTTTTGTATCAGCAGGACTGCAGGGCAGTGCAAATCCCATCCATCCAGCAATACATCAAAACAATTATCTGGAGCTGCTGGAGAAGCTGGGGACTGCTGTTGGTCACAGTCAGCAGAATAGGAACAATGATGGAATCCTCCAGTAGGCGGGAGAGTACAAGTAGAAGGTCGTCCACCTAGGTCCAGTGGGTGGAAAGTGTTATTATCCCCTTCTCAAAGTCTGCTAACTTCTCAGGATGCTATCATCTTCTCCCCTATTTATTTAATCCATATGTAAGCTGCTGGCTGCAATGCATTTCTGCACACAATAAGAAAATATGAAGTAAACAACAGTAACAAAACAGCCAGCTGAATCCAGTATATACCAAAGCCATCCAATCCAGCAAATTGTTAGTTCATGTGTTTTACTGGAAACAATTTTTCTTTACATTTGACAATTGGAAACAGACTGAAAACTTGATGCAATAATAAATCACACACAGAGCTATTATTACTACAGTGGGATTAAAATGCCTACATTACTTAGGGAGGTCTCAAAACTCAGAAGCTAAAACAAAACATAAGGAAAAAATACAAAGGAAGACACACACATACAAAATAATTAAATAAGTGGAAAGGCAGCACTCAGATGTATAATCAGAATTGGAAATAAAGAATAACCTTATTTAGTACTTGACTAACAATGATCCATGACAATACAGCATTTGAAAGCCCTGTAGTTCTGCCAAGATGCTAACACACAGAATTACTTACATGGAAGTATAAACAGCATAACCTTGGAAAAGGGGTATGGCTTGATCCTACTTTGATTTAATATATTTTTAGCCTTTGATTGTAGTGTAGATTTCACAAAAGGAAGTCCTTTACACCTGAGATTATTGCCATGTGAACAGAATGGTGTCACACACCTACCACAGGAGATGTCAAGGCAGTAACCCAGAGTTGTTCCTTATGTGTTCCCTATGTGTTCCTTATGTGTGCCATCCCCCTTCTCAATGTAATCAAAAACCAAACCAAGTAGAAACTTACACTGAAAATACCCTCTGTTTGCAAAAAACGCAGTGTGAGGTCCAAACTCTAATAAAATTCCTTTATCGTGCTTAAAGGAGGTAGAGTATAAGATATTTCCCTGGTCTGATTTCAGACTAAAATACGTATATATATTTTGTCCATCTTAGATTTTGGAGAACAACAACTCCTCCTCTACTCTTTAATGTCTTTTGATTTGCTGAGGGAGGGAGAGCAGGAGACCGTAGGGCGAGAAGGTGTTAAGCAACTTCAGTCAAGGCTATGGTTCTCCAGACTGCTTTTGTAGGATTAGGAGGGTTTTAAACTTTCCTCTTAAATTTCACTTCCCTGGGTATAAAGAGGTTACTGCATCATGTCTCCATTTGAAATGCATCTAAATGCAAAGCAATGCATACAGGCTGCTGCTGATACTGATTTTACAGTTTTCATAATGGACCAGGTCAGCTGTTCATTCTTTTTTGAAGAAGCAACTTGTTGTGCCTACTGATCACTTCATCCACCATGATGAGAAGATAGCTGTTTATCTCAAGGATAGAGTGGACAGCATAAATATGCAACACTCCAAAAATACAACAAGGTTTCAAAGATCTGCTAAAGCCAAAGGAGAGGAAATATATGGTTGCTCAAGTTAGAATTTGCTTGGGGTATCAATATCAGCATCAGCCTTATGCAATTTTTTTGTGTGTTTCATTACAAACTTTCATTTTTTAAGAAATAAAGAATAGCATCTATAATTCAGCAAACATTGAAGTATTTATGTGTAATATGTGTTTAAACTTAGATCTGATTCTATTTAGAAGGCTTTTAAGGGCCACAGTTTGATTATTACTCCCACTGATGTCAAAATTTATCCCAATAAACTTCTGCTAGATTGTAGAATTTGAAGTGTTTCAGTATTCTGATTTATTCTCTCTCAAAATTAAGTGTCTGATAGCCCTACCTTCCATACTTTCATCCCTATGTTTAATGACATTAGAATGTAAGCCTTCCTTAAAATAGGCCATATCAATTTTCCATCCTGTGAACTAAAAACTATATGATCTGATCACTTCTCTGATTAGTGACCAACACAGAAGTGCAATAGAATTGTCTGTTCCTTCCTCCCAGCAGCAGTGATATCATAGCAGTATCCCATGCATGAGCCCATCTCTTGCTATCTCGTCCTCAGCTTACATTAGCAGATCTACAAACAAGAGGATCCTGATTCTCAGCCTGCATTCACTATTAATGAGCTGAAGAACTTCAAACAGCCTTTGGCAAAACCAGATTGCCAGTAAAAGAAACTGGGCTAAAAGTGAGGATGGCACGTGGAGTAAAATATGGTACTGAGTTACTCCAGCTTTTGTTGCACCAGGGGCTGTTGACTACCAGGCTGACCAGTGAGGATGCCCATGGCACGTGCTTGGAGATAAGGGGGGGTGTGTAGCTGTATTTAGGCTGCATGGATCCCAGCTTTGTCTTTCTAGAGGTACTTGGACAGACTCCGAAACATGATTTCTAAAGAGTTGCCCTCGGGATCATCAGTTTTGGTGGGTGTTATCTGCTGATTTAAACATACCAACATTCACATCTAACTTAACACCCATCACAAGGGCATGGATGAATTTTTAAATTAGTTGCAGCAGGGAAACAAATTGCCTTTCAACATGTAAATATAACCCTAGCATTAAACATGGCTTTTCATAACTCTGTTTGCCGAAGGCTAATTTTATGATATGTCAAGTGCCCTGAACTCCTGACACCACGAGTTCCTCTTTAGATAAGCAGCACACTTGTCTCAAGGACAATCCATTCATCCATGCTGTACTGCATGGAAATATGTGAGGAGGAAAAAGAAACAATGCCACTCTGCACTTCTTTAATCAGGTAGATGTGTTAGCAGAAATCACATATCCTCTTGCAGTGTCTGGCTGTATTATGTTTTTTGGAACCAAGCCATTGCTTTGGCCTTGACATGATGTTAGTATGTGTTATTAGCAGGCAGTGAAGGAACTTCAGGAATTATTACTCACCACAATCAGCTAATGTGAAACAGAGGCTCCCAAATGGTGGAGTTTAAGCTTCTTAAGAACAGATCCTGTTCTCCTCTGCAACACAGTCTATGCCTCTGAGGACAGTCACAGCCCCTAAGCCATCTATTTTGGACCATCTCGAAGAAAGAGGCAGCAGCCAGGTGGCCAGTGAGAGAATATTGGCAGTTGCTGGTCTAAGCAGTGAGGATGAGGACTGCTCCTACCAATTACAGTATGGCAGTGTAGTAAATGGAGGGAGGTAAAGGTTTCTGGGGTCCCTGTCATGCAAATGGGGAAGGAACAGTGGTGATACTGTGATATTGCAGCGGGTGGTTCTGAGAAACTATGAGTTAGAATAGTAACAGTCTGGTTTTTGCTGCAGCTTGTTCTAAGGAGGTGCAGTCGCTCTATGCCTTTTCTACTGCCTCTCACGCATATGCATACTCAAAAGGCAACTCAGGATTGCCATGATCAGCTTTATTTCCTCAGTATTTTTCTTTTCTTTCTTTTCTTTTCTTCTTTTCTTTCTTTTCTTTTCTTTTCTTTTCTTTTCTTTTCTTTTCTTTTCTTTTCTTTTCTTTTCTTTTCTTTTCTTTTCTTTTCTTTTCTTTTCTTTTCTTTTCTTTTCTTTTCTTTCTTTTTTCTTTTCTTTTCTTTTCTTTTCTTTTCTTTTCTTTTTTCTTTTCTTTTTTCTTTTTTCTTTTTTCTTTTTTTTCTTTTCAGAAAAGAGTTTCTCTTGGATTTCAAAAGAATACAGCCCAAAAAATGGCTGAGTATTGAGCAGTCTACAGAACAGCTTCAGCCAAAGACAGATGCTGCCTTCCTGTCTTCCTCGATAGTGAAATGAAAGGGAATGTATTGCAATGGATTTAAGCAAAGGATCTGATCAGAATGTCAGGTTTCTATAAAAGGGTAAAGTTCATCTGGTGAAAAAAAACAGGAGTACGTTAGTGCCTCTATATCAGTAAAGTCATTGTGAAGGACATCAGGCTGTTTGTGCTCTGAAAACTTCCACTTTGGGAGTCAGTTGTCTTTTTTTGTAAAAAGTTTCATATAAATTTTAGAGTGGCCTGCCTGTTGTCAGCAGGACAAAAAGAATTGTTTCTCTATTCTACTAATATTTTCTACCTAATTTTTTTACAATATATTTTGAAGGACAAATGAATCTGTGTATTTATGTTTAATGGCAACAATTGTGAATCCAAATATTTTTAGGATATTGATATTGAATCACCCCAAATGATGCACAGTAATAAAAATATGACTGCCTAAAATAAAATGGCATTAAGAAGGCAAATTTTGTGCTTGTGAGATTTGGAGAAATAAAGAGACATTTCCTAAGCCTCTTAACACATGTGGAGTTTGAAGTTCTGATTATTGCTTCCAAGGACCAGGAAATGGGTCATGCTAATTAACACTCAGGGGTAGTACTTTCAACCATCAAGGTTACAAAAATTCATTCTTAATACTCTGTTTCTGGGACCCACTGTCTTCTGCTGAATTAATCTCACACAGTATGATTTAATGGTAACTTTTATTTGATGACTGCATCATTTAACTTTAAACTGGATTCAACAAGTACAACTTAGTGATAAATTTGCTGTCTACCTTTTTCTGCTTCCAAATTGGTATTGGAAATCTTGAAGAAGACTTAGAAATATCAAAATCTGAAGGCTTCATGTGGAATTTTGTCTCGTGTAACTGTTTAGGTGACTGATGCTACTGATAATTTCTACTATAATCATTATTTTCTTCCTAATTTTCAGAGGTGCTCAGTCCACCTCACACCACTTGAAGCAGTATTTGTGGGCAAATTTGTGTTGTATGTTGGAGGCAAGAGGTCTTGCACCTTACTCACTCTTTGCTGAACAGCAGAAATCTTGGCCCTGATACCAGTGCTCAGTGAATCAAACTCACTCACTTTAAATGAATGTAGCTTTCAAGGAATAAGGTTTACAAGAGGAAACGAGAGCAGATAATTTTACATTTCTGACTCTATTTTGTTTAAATGTGGGATGTTTCCTCCATTTCACACATTTGGCATATTGTCCAGATATTTCTCCTTCCTGAAAGGGGAACCAGCAAGTACATAGAGAGCAAGTCGGGCCAATGAACATTTCTTCCTCTGCTCCAAAATTGTCAATTCCAACAAATGATTGATTAAAGCTGGGATTCAGATCATCTCTGAACATATGAATGCTTAAAGGCTTCCTTCCTCTTTACTGAAGAGGAAAAAGATGACAACTACCTTGGGAATAATCCAGTTCCCCTTCTGAGTGACTGACCTGCATCTCCACAGCCGTGGTCTGGCTGGAGTTATCACCTACAATATATATGTATTATTCGGTGTACAGCTGGTATTCACCATTGTGCATGTGTTCAAGTGCAATTTTATGAACACTTCCACAATCTGAGGGTTTTTCACTCCAGGCAATTGCTACATCCTGCCCACCCAGAAGACTTACTGCCATGTTGCCAAGGAGTTCACTCAGAGCGGATACTTTGAGGAGAAACAGATTAAATGCTTACTTTATAACTATTCTTAGAACTAAGATTTTCTTATGGCTAGTGCCCCCTCATAAGGTCTGCATTATGCCCTGTATTTTTTTTTTTACACTTGCAGCAGAAAAATAGAAGTGTAAGACATTACAACCACTTCACCTTGGAAGTATGTCCCTCTGATTGTGAAACAGCACACATCAGCACTAAGAGCCATTAACTGTTTTAGGGTGGAAGGAAACAAAAAAGAATCTCAGTGTTCTGCCTGTCTAGAACACAGAAATATTGCATGTTGTCTTCTAAGCTAAGAGAAATTAAAAAATAAACTAATTTTGAAAGAAAAATAAGCTTTTTTGATCACCATGAAAATTAATGAAGGCAAGATGAAGCAGGAAGGCCAAGAAGACAGGGAATAACAGAGTTGTGAGCTCAACCTCAATCCCTGAGAAAGTGGTGGAACAACCTACACTGGATATCATTTCCAGACACATGAATGATGGGAAGGTGACCATGAGAAAAGAGCATGGATTTATGAGGCAGAAATTAAGCTTAACCAACCTGGTAGACTTCCAGGCTGAGCAGGATTAAATCAGTGAGCAAGGATAGAGGTGTGGATGTTGTCTACCTCAACATTATCAAGTTGCTTGACACTGTTTTCCATAAATTCTCACAGATAAGCTGACAAAGTCAGGGTTAGGTAGGCAGGCTCGGGGCTCATTGTGTGATCAGTGACCCAAAGTCCTGTTGGAGGCCACTCCATTGTGGAATACCCCAGGCATGGACACTGGTGCCAGTACTGTTTAACCTTTTCACTAATGACCTGGATTATAGGTCAAAGTGCATGCTCAGGGAGTTTGCAGATGACACAAAGCTGAGAGGAGTGGCTCACACACCAGATGGGCGCCCTGCTGCTCAGAGGGACCTCAACAGGTGAAGAAATGGGCAGCCAGAAATGTAATGAAGTTCCACAAAATACATGCACAGTCCTGCCTCTGTGGAGGAATAATCCAGGCACCCCCACACACCGTGGGCTGAAGAAGGTTTTGCTGAGAGGGACCCTGACGGCCTTCCATGTGTACACCAAGCTGACCAAGGGCCAACAACACTCAGCAAGAAAGGCCAGCAGCATGCTGGGGTGGGTTAGCAACGGCACTGCCAGGCAGGCTGGGGAATCCTTACCCCTACTTAGCCTTGGTGAGAGAGGTGAGCAGAAAAGGTATTTAATATCTCCACCCCACAGATGCTGCCAGTTAATTAACATCCTCTCAGTCTGAAGTCATAGTAAAAAATGGATAAAAGACTGCCCGTGCAGGGAGACCTATGTTACCGAATTAGTGTCTTGATGTACACACAGGAGCTTTGATGAAAAAGCATCGTGTGTCTCGTACTTAAACTGCATTTAAAATAAAAAAGATACAAAGAGTTAAAGAAAAGGTTATTTTCCCTGAGACTTTAGTCTGGGTTACATGGATACAATTTACTCAGCTCACAATGGGGAAGGAGTTATTAATCTCCCAGAGAGAGATAAACACTCGCCGCGTAGTTCACCACTTAGAATCTATACAGCTCTTTCCAGCCATGCATACTGTGTCCACAATTTAGGACCACAAGTATGAACTGTTAAAAGAAGTTTTAAGAGTGATGAGATTCTCAAAAAGCAAAAGGATCTTCTGTTGAAGATTCTTCATAGAATACAGGAAAGGACAGCATGGTGGAGAAAAGGTTTTTATGACAGGCATCTCCTGTGGAACAGAACTAAACCCTGTAAACTTTACCATGCTGCCATACGGAATCACTACCAAGGAATAAAACCTTCCCCTGCCCTGAGTGAAAGCAAATTCAAAGCAGTCTGTTTATTCAGTCTGCAGCTTTTTTCCATTGTTCATTACAATATGTTATTCTAGCACAAGTGGAATTCAGGAGGTGATCTCTCTGGCTGATGGTTGGATTGGTAAGAATATTAGACTTCAACTTTATCTCAGCAAATAATGGGCTCTCTCTGGAATAGCTGAAACTCTGACAGGAAGGAAGAGACATTAGTGGGAATTTCCCCTAGATAACAGTCCTTGGTTTATAGAAATCCTGTTCCATTATCTCTAGATGTTATACAGACATAAATATATAGAGCAACAGCATTTACTATGTTGGATTTGCAAACACACTTGTTCTCTGCAAGAATCTTCAATATTTTTATTTTACATATTTCTTTATACTCAAAATGACAATCAAAGATTTGGAGAAATTTAGTGACAAAAACACAGAACTATTTTAATGGACTCAGCACACTGGATAATTATTTCAGAACTTCAGTTTTATGAAGTGAAGCACATAGTCTACCCCTTTTCCAGAAAACTTTTTTAAGAGAGTACAACAACTGTAAATCCAGATCCCACTGCTTTTTAGTACTTTTTCTTTGTTCCTGTCTATCTAAGATTCCTATCTGTAGTCAACTGTGCATTTTTCTCTTTGACCAGGACTAGCTTACAGCATACCAGGTAAAGGAAATTATCAATACGCAGTTTAGAAATACAGACATGTAGAATGTGAGGGAAATATATAAATGGAAATTTTGTTTTCTGAAATTTCCGTATCAGTCCTGGTTTTGCTCTATGTTGAAACTCTTTCTGTGTATTTTTGTCAGAGGTTGCATAGGGCACTGAAGCATGAAAAAGGAGGAAAAAATCATTGCAGAAAATGCAAGTAATTTTCCCTTTTATTTCCTTTACTGGTGAATATTACAGAGTGAAATGCTCCACAAAATAAGTATTAGCTACATTTCACTACGTTTTATCATAGTTCTTTTTTTATAATTACATTTTATAAAAAAAGGAAGTTCATTAGGAAATGAAAATTTGCTGGCATTCACTCCCTGGCAATTCTGACTTGAAAAGATGCTTGTTATCCTTAGATGTTTGCCTTACTTGATATAAATTGCTATCTAAATAGAGATGGAATAATGACATAACAATTAGAAATTTAACATGTAAAGCAGACTGAAATTTCACATTTGAGGTGCAATTTAGCAATGGGCTTCCGTAACTCATAGGGCAGTATTTCCTTTTTGTTTATACAAGTTTCTAAAATTCAGAAGTTTATTTCTAAAAATTTTAAACAGCACAAAAGGAAGCTTACTATTAAAACCTGTAACTTCTAAAAACCTTGAAAAATACTTTTAAGAATATCTGTCACCATAATGGTGAGTGAGTGAGCTCAGGAGTCCAGCTTTCCATGCTGGCTGTGCACATCTCTCATTGTTGACCCATTGGGGCAGGAAGGAAATGCCTGGGTTCAGTTCTTGGTGTTCTGTAAAGCTTCTATGAGAGCCTTGTTGTATTCTTTGACCAGCTTTCTCACGTTCTTCATTATTGGCTGGTAGTCACTCTCCTGACTTTTTGTTGCTATGACTGATTAAAAGAACTAAGGAAACAAACTGCCAGTATAAATATGAGCATAATTGGAGATCACAGGGGAACCACACTACAGTACATTTGCTTCTCTGAAAACCGTCAAGTGTTGCAAATAATGGAAAAAACTTCAGTTGGGTCTAAAAGGTTTACACTAATTTACTAGGGCTAGCTGCCATCTCATGCCAAGCACAGTAGGAAAAAAAAAAGATTACATGCCTGAGTCAGTTTTGTTTTCATATATACAGGCAATAGGTCCCTTGTGAAAGACTCTGCCCATTGTTACACTGCAAGCAAAACCATTTCAAAGCACTCAGCTGTTTACAGCCATTCAGTCTGGCTACAAAAGTCCCAGTCCAGGAAAGCAGCCCCCCTCTTACCAGTAGCCCAAGCAGACACAGTACTCTGTACAGGGATCTGCATGTGGATAGGCAATATTGCATAGCAGGTTAGGAGATGCTTTAAGATCCTGATGAACTCAGGAAAAATTTTGTTTAAGAGTATTGCCTTAATAAACATTCCTGTAGAGACTCCTTCATAGAGGAGGTAGCTCCAATTAGATTACATTGTCCAAGACTTTCTTCAGATGCATTTTCTAAGAATTAGAACACCTACCAGACATGAGAAATGGGTTATTTGGTATTTGAAAAAGGCAACATTATATGTATTATTATATATGTTATTATTTCTCTAATGGCCAGGCTATCACGTAATTGCCTGAAATATATTCCTGTGCCATCTTCTGGCCATTTCATTTCCATATAGCAATGGCCATTGTCAAACATACTACACTGGATGGTGCAGTCTAGTTTTGACATTACCTTTACCAATTACATTTGTACTGTAATCATAAAACAGTGAATTTGTGCATATTAGAAATTTCAGATTTTTTGTTTCTAAATAATTTTGAAGAAATAAGCTTATTGTAGTGAACTCACTGTCCCAAAATAAAAGTGCAGCTTGGTCCTACTCAGATCCCTGCCATAACTGTGGAGAATAAAATAGTACAAGACGAGAAGAACCATCGATTCTAACTAAAATAAACATCAGTGCTTTTGCTTATTTCAAAAACTATCTCATGAAAGCCATTTGCAAATAAGCAAATAACGATTTTGCTCAAGTTTTGTAAGGTCATATATGATTAGTGAAATATAACCCTTAAATTTGAATCACATAATGAGAAAGCTACAGTGCAGTTTCCCCAGGCCAGCCCATTTTGCAGCTCAAGCATTTCCTTGTCATATCTTAACACACTCACCTGTTTTTTCACTCTAGTAGGCAATTCCCCTTTTACTTCACAAGCAAAACATTAAATGTATACAATTTATTTTTTACTTTTTCATTATTGGTATTTTCAGGGGGTTAAACAATACACGGTGAAAAGTCACCATGCTCTAAGATTTTCAAACAAGAATACACTTGCAGATTAATTCCATGTAAGACTGGACAGATATGAACTTTGTATGAAACCTAATGGCAAAACTGTGCCAGAAGGAACAACTCCAGATCGCAAGGCAAAGCTTATGCTTTAGGACCCCGTAAAATTGTTTCAGACAACACATGCAAGTTGTGCTATATATAATATCTATCAGCTAACCAGACGTTTGCAGAGGATTGCCTTTCCCCTCCTCCCCTGTCTCCTGCTGACCATTCCGTCCTGTCTTACTCTGCTGGAGGAAACAGACTTCTTCCTCAATTAATACAGTGCATGAATTTGACTCTCTTTCTTAAAGAAAAGGATACATTCCTTCATCATAAAGTTATTTTGCTCATGGTGCTGCCACTTCCTCTCCAAATTTGTAAGCTGAAAACACAAAAAGTGCCAAAAATTAAAATGCTAATTATTAAACACATATTTTATACAAACAAACTCCCAAAAATGTTGTATCAGTACCTTGTACTCTATCACCTGATAAGATCAAAGTTATTTCACATTAAAAACTCCGAAATGAGATACAATGGCAAAATGTTTTTAAAGCTGCCAAAAATTAACCTGCATAAAATTTAGGACTTCATAATCCATCAGTACAAAAGCACTGCATGCAATTGCAGTGATAGATGAAAAAATCAGATGAGAATTCAAGACTTTTCATATAAGGAAGTATGTAGGCAAGTCAGAAGTAAAAAGATGAACCCTGTAGGGAGATATGAATTCTCATTATGCTTCTTATCACTTAAATGATCTCTTCTTAGAATCAGTGAGATCTAAAATCACCAAAGATACAATATTTCCTGACACTGTCTTGGACTTTAAGCTACACAGAAGAAACTTCCTTACTTCCATAGTTAAGTTTCCTGTCTGATGCCAGAAGCTGTGATAAGAACAGAGCTGCAGCAAGAAGATTGTAGGAGTGTGGGTTAAGTGTTGGCACTTCTTCAATACTTTCAGCATCAACAGGAAACTAATGTGGACATTATATCGATGGCTGCTTCCTTACAATACAATTTTATACTTGTTTTTCTGATGCTACTGTTCAAGGTTTTGCATTTCAAGATATGAAGATGTTATTTTTAAATGCAAAAACTGAAAATCATTCTGAGACTAAACTTTCTGTAGAAACTAAAAATTTTCCTACTAATTAGGAAAACACTGCAGTATTTTACTTAAAAGCTTATTCTTAAGTTAGAAAACAAGAAAATAGTTGCTATATTACTCAAATCTTAACAGTGAAGAATCAATTATCTAGTGTACTGGTTCACAGTAAGCATGACAATAATTTACTTCCAAGTACAAATACTTCTGACCAATTAAAATTCTTATTGCCCCCTTTGTAGATGTTGCAACACACAAGATAGCCAGTAAGAGAGCCTAGGTTTGAAATACTTACTGTCTGATACATATAAAAGGAAACATTCAATGTATTTTTATAGTACCTCCTTGGAGGCCACTTCACAGCTTGCAAAATTGCCCAAGCCCTCAAGACATATGAACAATATTTGTACTTCACAATTCTTGATGCGTATCAACCAATCAGCTGTTATAAGATATACTTTTAATTCACTCTCATGGTATTTACACTCATGACATAAAAAGTAAGGAAAAAATCCTTTTTGCAGACACTGAAATAGAACTGCCACAGCTTAATGAATTGAAGAAATTATGTACAACTATTATTTTATATAAAATTTTAAGCCTCATCATGCCAGTATCCTAACTGCTTTTCCATTTCCCTAAGCTCTAGGAATAAGAACCTGATCTTGGAATAAAAATATTCAGTAACTGAAATCTTGCAGACTTTGGCATGTAGCTTTGTGGATTTATATCATCACCCTAGAGTGATTATAATAATCTCCTGTTCTATACTTGTATATATATACCTCAGTCAGAGTTACATCTTCTCATCTGCTCCATGAAGCCCACTCCAGAGGAAAGTCAACTTAAACATGTACCAATATGACCTTTAAGTTTTAACTGAATTAAAATAAAATAAATATCTCAACAACCTCAAGCAATAAAAACCAGTGAAATGCACAGAAAATAATCAATTTCCATTTCCACCTTATTTTAAGGTTATCCGTTTTCCTTCTGTGCCTTCAAACCTCCGTGCCAGTAAAGTTCTGCTGCCAAAATGACAGTAATATATGGGTGTTTAAAATGGAAGAATCAAAGCTGCTCAAGAGGTTACAAACACATTCTTTCCTGATTCACTTTTTAAATGTAAATGTACATATACTCATACATCAAAGTTTAAGTCTGAACAAACCCCAGAAGTTCAGTGATCTGCAAGAAGCAGAAGAATTAGAAAAATGGAAAATGAAATTAATAGCACAGGTTGCAAGAGAAAACTTATCACCATAACTTTAAAAGCAAAAGGGATCTTAGCTAATTAGTAGCAACTGTTTTTTTTCCCCTGTATGTTCTTCTAAGTTGGTCCTCAAAACTACTCAAGCAAAGGAAGGGCAGAAGGTGAAGAGTTCTGAGCAAGATTAATACAAACACTTAAACATAGGAGTCGCATAATTTTTAAGCTCAGAAAGATCTCTAGTAATCTAAAGCTTACAATTTATTGCTACAATATTAAGTTTTGTTTGAAAACTGAAAATATGGCAACACACTTAAAACACATGACTTAGAAAACTCTCTGAGAAGGAATAAACAGATTCCATCCACACAATGCTTCATGTGTATGAGAAAACCAAAACTGAGAAAGAAACAGAAGGAGATAATAAGTAATCTGAGCTATACCTGAGAATGTGTCTCGTTTTCTTGCAGCTCCCTCTTTAGCATCTCATACTCTGCATTCAAGAGCTCCATTATTTTCTTGAAAGAACGGCTACGCTTTGTTAATTTTTCTTTGTCATCCTGGAGTCTCTAGTTAGAAAAAAAACCAACACAAACTGATTAATGGCTGAGTTCATCTGCTGTGAGCTTCAGGAAAATTACTTCAATTCACCTTTTAAAGTGCTACTTTTTTTTCCTTTCAGAACAAGACCACGTGTACAGAGAACTCATAGGCTTTTCTCTAGCAATGCATGCTTTATCCTAAAATTGATAATCAATGATTATGACAAGTTCTAGGCTTAGACCACATTCTATGAGCGCAAGTGGGAATGCTGATGTTAAAAATTTGTAGGAAATTCTTTTTTGTTTGAGTTCTGTGTTAGATTGCTAAATTCAAAGTTATGGGTAGTCATAAATTACACCTGAAGATTCTAGCTCACTCATTAAAATAAAATGAGGAAATTTTGTGGAAGGAAGTGATCAAAAGGCATTCAGCTCATAGCCTGCAACATGTACCCATTTGGTAAATCATGTATATACGCAGAGAAGCATTTGGATTAATTTGCAGCTATCAGATATAAGGAAGGACTCTCAATCACAGAACTGGATTACCTCCCCTGGTTGCTCAAAAGCACACAAATTCTGTCTTATTCCTTTTGTTACCTTTTCCTTCTCTTCTCCTGATGCTTTCAGAGCTGGCAAATTACTGTAGACCTCCAACTCCGCTTTTGTCTGTTCAATTTTGTCTTTAAGAGAAGCCAGTTCACCAACCATCTTGCCCTCCAACAGTTCCATCTTCTGTAAGTCCATCTGCAGTTTTTGACTCTCTAGATCACCAGACACACAATCTCTAATTAACAGTACTTTTTGTTTCATAATACATGGCCCAGTACAAATAAAGGTTCATACTATATTTAAGCTACATAAACAGCTCCTGTATATCTTTCTTGATATTCATGGGACTGTTTATGTGAAGGAAAGAAAAAAACGTGATTTTCACAATCATCCTACAAGACTCTCACATTACAATAACTGTATTATACTCCATAAGTGAAGAGTAATGAAAATGTGAAATTTTTTGTATTACAGTGCTTCTATTGTTAAATTTATAGCATCAGATAACTTCAAGTCTTAAAGCAGTGGTGATAACTTACAAGAAGTTGCAATAATGCAGACAATTTAAAAAAATAATTTTATTAGTTTTTTTAGCAATGTGTTGTTTTTATTTATGCTGCTTGTAAAGGTTTAGTTTTTGGAGAACAAATAGCCAAATTTTCTTTAAACATTCACTCTCTACAGAAAAACACTTCCATACATCCACGCAATAAGAAATGTCATAGCTTACAAGATCAGCGTGTGTTACAACATACAGAATTTACTTCTGACACTCCATTAAAAATAAGTAAGAGAGATACAGGTAATTAAGGGAATTAGAAATATGGGTGGATTCTTATATGAAGAGAACTGCAAAGACTGAAACAGTTCAGACATGAGATGCATAAGAGAAGAAACAATAAAAAAACCCAAAATAATAAATATACTTTGAACAGTTTTGGGGGTAAGTTCCCCCTGAGTGGGGAAGGACTAGATGTGGCTAGACTTGTTTTTTGACCTGCCTTGTCATTGTATTCTATTCATGTTCCTGAACATTAAACACATGGCTACATCTTCTTATGTTTCAGATCTGTACTGAACTCAGAAGAATGATACAAATGATGCAGGGTTTTTTTCCTACAATCTAAAATATCAGGCAACATGGCTTTTGGGAGGGATGAGACGGCACAAAGAAACTTTTCTTGGCATAGACTGTGTATTTTGCTCACAGTCAGATTTGTGCTGATCAGCTGGAAAAAGGTAAAAAATTATCCCCCCTACTTAACCAAGGCAGTATAAATCTTCATGGCAGAAGGGTAGATGTGCTTATGTGACAGAGGGAGAGTTCACCTTTTCAAAAACTGTGGGTATGGTTTCCTCAGTGGATTTATTTAGGAAAATCTCACTCTCATAGCAAGATTTTGGTCTTCATTTCTCTACTTATGCATTTATGCCATATGTTTCTTTTCTTAGAGTTAAGTATTTCCTTTAATCAATATTTTTTGCTTATTACAGAGCTTTGGTGATTTGTTTAGGCACATCAAAATAAAAAAAAAAAAGACAAGCCAAAATTTTTGTGTACTATTTGAAATTATCCTCAAGAATGCTGATCCATAAGGTAAGATTGAAAGGGTCCTATATGTGCAAAGAGCATGTACATAAATACAAAAAATTTCCATATTACTAAAAGAAGGGTTTAAAAGTAAAATATTTAGACTGCACTGCATGTCTGCACTTCAATGTCTGCCTTCCACTGTAAAGCACTTAAGAAAACACCTCCTCTGTGCCTACAATATTTTGTAACTGCCCACAGTTCCAATTACAAAGTTCCCAATAGTGGTCAATGACAGATTGTAAACCACAACTGAACAGACCGCAGTTTTACTTCTCTTATTCCTACAGCACTGTGGTTTAAAGACAGACAAATGTTTAATGACCTCAATAAATGAGGATTTTAAGATCGAACAGTAAAAAACAGAATTATAAAATAAACTCAGATTGGAGAGAAATAGCAGAAAACAACTGATGTTCTTAAGGATTTATTTAGGCCTAATCACAGCATTTTCACTTTTTATATAGTAGTTAATTATCTTTATTTTATTTTTAAATAGTACATAGTTGAGTAGTTGGAATTTATCTTACATAGTAAAATAAAGGAGTAGTAAGAAAACGAGTGCCAAAAAGAAAGAGTTCTTAGGTCGTTCTATCTCTACACTGATAGAAACTATGATGAGACAGCAGTGAACATTCCTATCCATTCACTGGAGGAAAGGGAAGAAATTGGAAGCGGTGAATTTTTTCCTTTTCCAGTAGCAGCCTCAATGAAAAAACCTCAGAACTCCTCCAGGGGAAGAGGCAGGAAGAGGATGCAGCCCAGTTCCTTTTGATACACTGTGAAGTTGCAGTGTCTAGCCTGCAGTGTGTACATAGTAGCAAATTCTCAGAACAAACCACAGTGACCCAGGGAAATAGTTTTGGGAAACTAAGCCATCAGCACTTTTGTTTACTCCTCATGGTTTCCTTCTCTTTTTTATTTTTTTAAGGATTCTGCTGGTGGACATTCTATATTTTTGTTATGACAAGAAAATATAGGAATCCAGATTTTAATCACAACAGAAGAATTCTGAAGACTACTGTGCTATTATTGGAGGGTTAGGAAGAAGTTCAATTGTGAAAAATGAAAATTCACTGCATTTCTGAAAGAATCTTAAGTTGTTTATTACAGTAGCTGTGACTCCTTGCTGTCAGACATTTACTTCTGAATCATTTAAATGATCTGCTGAAAATTATATACTGTTCCTTCTCTCCCCTAGCAGAGAAAGAAATATCTCTTTCAATAATGCCTCAGGTGCTTTCAAAACATCCTTATGTTGTAAAGCAGACAGAATTGATGCTTACATGAAAGAACAAAAAGCCATAATTGAACTTGTAATGTTAAACTACACTAGAACTGCAAAACGAGTATTTGCAGACAAGCGAACACTAAGTGTTCAAAGACAAAACACTCAAATTCTGTAACATTTTGTGCATAACAACTTCATATTTGCTCCTAATTACTTTGAAGTTACAACAGGGGCTCCTATTTTGAAAATTACTAAAAAGTACAGCACATAATAGTCTTCTAACAAAATGATTTATGGTTCTTAATTCCTGCCCCTTCCTTTCAGCCAAACAAACAAGGAAAGGTTTGCTGAACCAATAATGATATTGGCAAAGACTTAGAACTGTGAGAACAATTCTACTATAAACAGTGCAAATAAAGAACTAAATAGATACTTGTTATGGGAATGAAAGAAAAACACTGTCTGCTTTTTGAAATTACAGACAGGATTCTTCAGATGCTTACATTTAATTTTCGGTATTTGAGTATTCAGAAAATAAAGTGAAAAGGAATTTTCACTTTGCAGAATCCAATCCTCAGAATCTGAGAGCTATTCACTGCTGTTGTCAGTTATTCTCCCATAGTACATACCCTTTGCAAAAGCACAAACCACAGGTAAGTGATACTAAGAACTACATTTACAAATAATACATGGTTAGACAACTGTGGAAGACTTCAATTTATTAAACACAGTTTAAAAATCATGGAAGGTATTTATTTTGAGGTAAGTATCAGTAAAAATCAAACTTCTAGCTACAAAACTTCATACCCCTGTATTAAAATACATTTGTTGATCTTACATCTGTTCAGGAAAGATGATCTTTAGTGGTAATAGTAAATGAAATACTCCTGAGGAATATAAATAGCTTGTTACTCGAAAGAGTTTCAGTTTCTCTGTTGCCACTGTATTTTAATATTTAGTTATAATCTGTTATCCAATATTTTCAGATCTCCTACTTCTTATTAGTGTAACATTGTGGGTAACCTTAACACTTTTAAGAAATAAATTTAAAAATTCATTGCTGATCTCACCTGTAACCAGATTCTTAGCAGTGCTTTGTGACTTCTGCATTTCACTTGATTTGAAAGAGAGGTCTTCCTGCATAATCTTCAGCTCTTGATTTGTAACAGATGAAATTTGTTTCATATGATTCAGATTCTGTGTGTTACCAATAACAATAATGAGAACATGTTCTATTTTTGAAAAAACAAATGGTAACTGGACTGTTCTGCTAGGACATTGTCTGTTATTTAGCTTTTGGACTACAAAGACTTAAAATACTGGAAATATTCTGAAGTGATTTAAATGTGAATGACTTTCATTCTGTCAATTTTTGATAAAAGATGTACTGACAGACCAGGACAGATGAAACAAAATAAGAATAAAGCAAGAATAAACTGTGCTGCCATACAGATTGGTTCTAAAATGACGGTGCCTAAAATATAAGGTACTCAGTTAGAAGACAATTAAAGTAATCATAGAATCAAAATATTACTCAGATGAAACTTTTCCATAGCATAAAAAAATCCATGGAAACAAAAAATATTAAAAGGAAAGGAGAACTGAAAGTGAAAAAAATGGCAGACTATAAATTGGAACAATTTCTAGAGTGTTACATTATTCATTTATATTGTTTATATAAAATATTACATAGCGGGGTATTCCAGACCTAATTTTAGTAAATCACAGGGACAAGTGGAATATTTTCAGCTATGCAACAGTATGACAGGATACCCCTGAACTGAGATGTGCAAACTTTGGGTAAACAACATATTGAGGTAGTTTTATTTGCAGTATTTGGAAATGTTTATCATGAATGGAATAATGTTCATTATAACAATGATGACAACTCTTTCCCCCGAAAGAAATTTAACAAATCCTTTTTTTTTAACTCCAGGTGTACATGGTTTAATGTTTAATCATCCTAAGAGATTACTATGCAGATAAATTTAAATACATAAAACGCAACATCCCTCTTCATCCAGTCGCTCTCTTGCTTTGTGCTTCTAAATTCCTAGTTTGCCATGGGAGGAGGGAAATGCTTACCCTGCTCGAGTGCTCCAGAAGTGCAACAATGTTGGCTTCTATTTGGGACTTTCTTTCAAGTTCCTGATTCTTAACGTCTTCAAAAGTCTCAAGAAAATCTAGAGATTAGCAAACACGAAAAATAAGGCTCTTACTTGCATGGGTACAGCAAATGCCTGTGTTATTTCCAGTCAAAACTTTGTACTATTATTGATAAATTGTACAATTGAACTTTGTTTATTTAAGAGCCAGGTGGTAGAGACCTTGAAACTTGTCAACTTTTTGGTTGGAATGAAGGAGAATTCTTCCAGAGACACATATTGGGCATGAGGTCACCACCTTCTTGTATAGTGTTTAGGTGAGGCTTTTTACCCAATAGGAAAGGAGTTTCACCCCCATAATTTCTGACACCTTTCTAAATGCTTGTCCCAGCAGCTCTTGCTCTTTATTTTTCTGAAAGTTAACAAAATAGGCTGCTAAATAAAGGAAACAGGTGACTTCATTATCTCTAATAGCCTGGACTAAATGCAAAACACTGCTAAGGACTTGAGACTAATATTCGCCTGGGATCACCTCTTTCCTTCTGTATGTGTCCCTTAGCTATATCTGTAATTTAAGTTCATTCTAGTAAGTGTCCAACTGAATCTGACCACACAGTTGTAATGGTGGTCGGCCCTCTGTATTTGTGTTCTAGGCATACTACACTGTATTTATGGTCACAGACATAATGAAAAGAAAAAGGTGCTGGACACATCACATCAAAGTTAAAAGTCCAGCAAGACGCCACCTAGAGCTGTAAGTTATGATAACTTCTCTTCTACTGGGTCTCCTACTGAAACACGGCTTATACACAGGAGCACTCAGTAAAATTAGGAGTTTCTGTGTGGATGAAAAAGGGAAGAAGTCCTTGTTTGAGCAAGAAGGATTAGACAATGGTAGGAACACATTTCACACATTTATTAATATGAAACAGTAACACTAACATACACAACATCCACAGGTATATATGTAATTCTATAAAACTGAGCCAGCAACAATAAAATTAGGATCTTAGAACAGTATCTATATTATTTGACTACTGTTTGTCTCCTTTGGCATTCTGGACTTTTTAGCTGTTTTCTTTCAAACCTTTGAGTTTATTTAAAATCATTAAGCAAGGTCCATATTTACATCTCATCTCATTGTTTTGCTATAGGCAACTCTCCTTTTCATCACGCTTGTCTGACTGATCTTGTTTCATTTGAGCACTGTGTGTTTCACAGATTCATAAAGAATTGAATGCAAGAGACTGTAAGAGCTCATCTGATTAATTCAGTAGCTCGAGGATAAAACTAACTGTATGTCAGTAATTCAGATGTTTGTCTATACTCATCTCACACTCAGTTCCCAATGGATACTCTACAATTCTCCAGGACAACCTATTTCAATGCTTGGTAAATGTTAATGTTAGGAAGTTTTCCCTAATATCCAACCTGAAATCTTTCTGCAACCACTGATGTTGCTCCTTTTATCTCCTCCATGTATATATAGAGATAAATTATTCACTTGTTATTTGAAACAGCCTTTTTAGATATTTGACAGCTTTCATAAATCTTCTAAAACAAAAGACTTTTTGTTTTATATTTCTTTGCAGGTCACGTTTTCTGCATCCCCCATAAGTTTCTCAACAGGACTGTCACCCCTTCCTTTATGTGCAGAACTAGAGACAGTACTCCACCTGAAGTATTCAATGCACAGGGAAAAAGATTACATGTCTGACAAATTACACTCCTGTGTATACCAACTGTTGTGGTATTTTCTCTTCCATGTTAGTGTGATACTGTAGAGCCACATTCACTTTGTTTTCACTCTAACTCTGAGCCATGCCACAGAGCTGTTCCTAATGAACTGCTCCCTATTCTACATTTTTGCTGTTGATTACACTACTCAACTATAGAAACTTACATTTCATCATTTTTGAATATTTTTAACTCATTTCTAATATGCCAAAAGTATAAAAAATTCCAGCCCTGTCCTCCAACACGACTTCAGCTTTTCCAATGGAGTATTTTCTGTGAACTCTTCTGTGAAACTCTCTCACCTGCCATCCATCTGCTGGATATAAGTATTGATCAACCTGAACGCCCAACACACTGCAAAACTCTCCTCAATACATCCTTTCATTCTGGCATTGAATCCTTCATAATTAGTAATTTTTTAATTGAATGCACAGTCTAGGTTAATGACAATATTTTCCTAGCTTGCTTCTCAGAACACCATGAGACAGCAGAAGATGTACTGAAGTTATACATCATCCACTGCTCCTCCCTTATTCTGCAATATTTTTCTGCCAAAAAAGGAAAACAGATCTTTGTACTTGGCAAATCAATACTACTACTATTCATACTTCTGTTTCTGTAACATTTACAAAGCGTCTGCTTGCTTTGTTTTTCCACATTCTTTCTAATATACTAAAGCTGACTGGTGTGTATTTCCCTGTCTCCTCTTCTTTTACACATCTTTTCCCGTCTTTTTAGACTCCTGCATGTTCCTCCAAATCTCTCAGGTTTCAGGTTCTCCAAATCTCAAACAGGCCTGGAACTGCATCCATATCCTCTGATGAAGGGTAGAAGCAGAACCAAAACCCAAAGACTCAGAAAGACTGTGAGTCCCCACTTGCACAGTCTCTACTCATACTGAATATCCAGATTAAGTGAGCTTTTGCCTTTTTGCTTCTCAGGAAATTTGGTAATTTGAAAACACAGAAACTCTCTAAGTATGGTCTTACCCATCTTCCCTTACTGTGGGCTGAGACCTTTCTTTCCGTATGATGCTAACCATAAGTCATACAGAGAATACTTAAAAAAAGATATTATATTCTCTGGCTTTCATGGCGTATTTATTGATCATTTTCCCCTTTTCCTGAGTAAAGGACCAACTTTTTTGGTAAGCTGTCTACTACAGTACACTAGCAATAAGGTATATTTAAAACCAATTGTTTTCATCCTCTGTTAGTTGCTGCTAGGTTCTCTACAAAATTAGACCCTTCTAATATGCAGCAAAGCTTTAGCAGCATTCATCTTGAATAAATATATATGAGAAGCCTTAATTTTGAGGAATTACATAATTTCTACACTTATCCATTTTCAAGTTCTGCTTTTAATAATTTAATCAATTAATTTCAGCCTTGTTTTCATAAATTAAAGCCGTGTTCCTAGGACCTTTAATGACTCATGAAAAGCCTTTCAGATGCTCGAAAAATTTATGACTGTCCTGTAAGTCCTAAGATATTAATTACCTTGCCCTGAGGCAGAAACTTTATGTAAAGATCAGGACATCAGTTCTTTGCAGTTCTAAATTATCTGTGTTTTGACAATACAAGAAAACCTGTATTTTAGAGGAATTATGCCTAATTGAATTATATTAGATGACTTACTGTCCATACTTTCTTCACTCTTCTTGAGCTCCTTGTATTTCCAATTTTCTTCTCCTGCAACAGATGTAACATTGATTTAACTTTACATTGCCTTAGTCCTGAATTCCTTTATGTATGCAAAATGTTAGTCTTAAAATTTCTGCATGCCTAGAAACTACAGGACTAATCCTATGTCACTGAATGTAGTCACTTGAACAGACTATGTTAAAGACTTTTACATTAAAAAAAAAAATTATGTAAATAAATCAGACTCAATGCATTTTTTTAAACCTTTTAGAGGTTAAAATTTCTGATAAATAGGAGTGACATAAATATTTGGTTTGAACAAAGGAAGTTCATATGATTTTTCTGAAGTCTCTATTTCAATAGTAGAGGACAAATACTTCTGTGTATTTGGGCACTATGGTTAGTTAGAACTTTCTGCAACTCAATATATGAGTCATTTCAACAGCACTTTCACATATTAGAGTGGAATTTCATAAGGAAATGCAGCTTGCAAGTAACAATGTGACAATCTCAGGGAAATAAACAGGAAAACTGTACAAGTAATGGTGTAGGAAAATTAAACGCACAGAAAGCTTTCTACAATTAAGTTTAAAAAAACATTTCCATACAAATTCTTTATAGTGATATTAGAAGTAGGGATAACATACCCTACTTAATTCACTCTATTGTTGAACTCCACTATGACTATAAACAGATCGAAATTTAAATGTACTAGTAAAGTGGAACACCTATTTGTTACAAGGAGACAATTCTTTTACTTAATTTTAAATTTCAAGTATTAAAAACATTAATTATTTGAGTCTTTTATATTTTTAACATAATCTTTTAATTTTAAAGAATACATTGCAAAAGAAACAAATAGATACAGATATAACTGAGCAAGCAAATTTCTCCAGGTCTTTTTATTTGTACATCCCCCCCATGCCTTCCTCTTTATCTAGTATATACAAACAATAAGAACACTCGTGGGACCCTATGGGACTGTGATTATGCTTCAGCTTCCTTGCAGCTGTGGCTTTGTTCCTTGCCAGACTCTCTCTTTCATTTGCAAGGCAAAGTCTTCAATATTTAATAACTCAGCCTTTTCTTAAAAAATCTAGTAATAGTGAGTCATGAATCAGTTACATGATTTGCCAACTGTTTAAAGAAAAAAAAATTTTGAAATAAAGTTTGCAACTTTGAAACACCTTTACAGGTAGTTTTTCTTTAAAACATGCCACTATTACATCAATACCTTAGCCTCTCCTGCAATTATTGAATGGTTGAGTCTATTCCATTAGGAGTTAATGCTGACTTTGACTAATCAGTTAAAGTTAACTTCTAGTATATGGAACATGTAAAAAGTGGGTGAAATTTCTGCTTACTTAGATTTTCTCAAGTGAAAACTAAAAATAGTTATTTCTATATATTCTGTTTTTTCCTACTCAAAAATGTTTTTAACACTGAAATATTAATCCTGAAACATTAAAAAAAAAAATTCTCAGTTATATTTTTTTTACTGTCTATTCCACCTTATATTTACCTAAAAAACTTAAGGAGCTGAGTAATAACATTTAAATACCAATCCAGAAGTGACTGGGGAGGGAGGGACGACAGGAATTTCAAGGGCACACCAAGATGCTGACTTAGAAGTATGAATGGCCCTCTGTGATTCTCTCTCCATTCACTAGGAAAGATAGCATTGGGAGTTTACATTTCTGTGTCTTAAGCTATTCTTTATTAATATCTTCTTTATTCCATCTGTTATACCAACATATGAGTTCCCTCTACATTATACTGCAAGGCAATTTGATTCTGAATATCCTGACTGCTCCTGATATGCTGACAAAGAGTATGTACTTTATCCTATATATGCTTTAAACTCTCTTCTTCAATAGACTTCCTTTTCTGAAACAGTGAAAGACACAGAGTCCAGCAATGTATGATTGTGTGTGTAAACTGAACTATAAAAAGCAACTCACTTCTTACCTTCTGCATTTCTCCGAAGTTAAAATGAGAAAGGGTTGCAAGACAGACAAAAAGGAAAGATTAAAGAACAATAAAGTTGGCAATGGTATTACCTGGAAACACAAAAGCTAACAAAATAGTCTTAACAAGTTATTTGTGCAAAAATAATGAAACATCTGTAGAAATATGAAATATTTTGTAATGAAAAAGATGAGAAACAGATGTATCAAACATTTGTTTAGAGGTAAATTTAGAAATATTTGTTCAGCTTGAAGAAACTTACAGCTAGATTTTACACCCAAGAAAGGGCATAAAGTAAAAAGGACACACATCAACTCATTAGTCCTCTAGAATTTAAGTAAGTTGTTACAAAGTCTTCCAAAATGTACGCACATATTTGTGTAATTCCTATCTGGACAAGATTTCTTATAATGAAAAGAAGGTTTTCCATTGCATGAATCTCCATTTTATGGAGAACCTTTCACAACTATTAAGGGCCTATGCTCAAACTAAAGTTACTTCCTCCGGAATCATAATCCAGTGGTAGGAAAAATCCCAGCCTAACCTAGCCTAAGTACTACAGCACATGTTTGTTGGAAGTAAGTATAAATTAAAGCCATTTTAAGGCAGCTCTCAAACTCTTCTTGCAAAGATCAAAAAAAGAAGTTTCAATGACTGATAACAATAATACTGAACTAGTATTAAAAAAATATTGTCTGCTTTACACGTTATTATTAAACATTCTCAATTCCAAATTTATTGACAGCGTAACAGATCATGTAAAAGGTAAAACTAATGAAAGCATTTCTAAGTATGAGCTGGTTCCACAGTGCTGCCTGAAACATAAACTTCTATTCCTCATCCAGTCCTAAAAATAAAATTGGGACAGAAAACCAGACAGCTGTACTATTATTTTGTATGGTAATTTTCAATATGAACTTGATGAATGCACCACTAAAAGTCTGAAAAGAAAAAGTTGTACCTCTAGATGTGATGATGTTGATGAGTAATGGACATTTGCATCAGCCTAAAAGTTTCAAGCAGCTAATGGGTAGAACATATACCACACAAACAGATGCAGCTCTGCACAGTCTGCTACAACTCTAGTCATATTACCTCGATAATTCTCCAGATCCATATCAAGTTGTTGAATGATGTTTTTAAAATGTTTTGTTTTTTCTTTTACTTCTGTCAGCCTGAAAAATAGATAATGAAATTCAGAGTTAAAAATATTTTTTAAAATACTTACTTTATTTGAGACAAAAATGAAGAGAGAAATCAAGAATAAAAATTGCAAACCTAAATTTATCAAAAGCAAAAGAATATCAGGATTATTGCTATTATAAAAGGTAGATGTATTGTTATTATAAAAGGCAGATGTAAGTAACCTGTCACTTTAGTCTCAATAGCTATTAAATATAGGTACTGTTGCTCCTTTTTATTAAAAAACAATTTTTGTTGAGTCATCAGTAATTCTTAACTTACTCAACTAGTCCCTCTGCTGGTTGCTATTCAGCTTTGCAGAGGTACAACATAATTGGTAAAGTGCACCAAATAACTGTACTCCTTAAAAATTACTTATGTGTTCACTAAAATCCCTTAAGAAATTGCCATGTAAAACACTATGCTATATAATCAATCAAAGTGTGAAAGAAATTACCTTAAACACATTTCTATGTAAAGTCTCAAATATAATGTTTTGTTATTGCATCTTTTAAAAAATTCTGTTAAGCAACTTTTTCTCTAAATAATGTATCAACACATTAAAAATTAACCAATAATTATAGCTGGGAATACTGTTTAAAAGAACTTAAATTTGTTTCTAGGATATTTCATGAATTATCTCAAATTTTCTTTAAATCAAAAGCAAAATCAAAACCTCAAAATCTCAAAATATTATACCGTTTTAACTACTCCCCCAACTTTACTTTTTATTATAAAATTTACTTGACTTTCTTGCTAATCTTCAGAAAGGTTCAGTACCCAAGAATCAAGAAGCAATGCTCTTTTACTCTTTAGAATGGAATTTTCTATAAGCAACTTTGTAACTTTTAGACTTTATGAACACATAACAAACTTAAAAATGTGACTGCAGTACAATGTGGCTCAACTTCATCAATGTCCCAGAGGAGTAGCCTTTTAGAGATGAATGTCTTAAGCCTTAAACAAGTTTAGGTCAGGGCAATTCCAATTTATATTTTCAAGATGTATTCTCAATATTCATATGGGATGGAAGTATCTTATTATGCAGATCTAAATGTTCTATCACTATAAAAGTTGTTTCCCTGAAATAGAATATATTCTATTCTCTGTGGAATGTTAACAGTAGAACAGGTTTGAAAATGTGGTGATGTTCTGTAAGTCTATAGAAATATATAATGGAACTCAACTGTCTTTAGGGTGTACAAGTAATTTATAGCAATAGTATAATGGAGTTACTCACTGTCTTTCCATGCTTGCTATTTTCTGACTATCATCTTTAACCTATAAAAAAAGGTATGACAACATTAACACACGAAATAAAATCTACAAATGAAAAAAGGAAAGGAAAAAAAAGATTTCTAAATTCAAAGTACATGGAATAGAAACTCCGCATATGAAATCACAAACTTGCTGTTACATCGTCCAACAAGAAGTGATATGATTTAAGTGTTGTCTTTTCCAAATGTTTAAAATCACACACTTAAAAATCAGATACACTTACCATTGGTCATTCAGACCAATAATCCACATGGTACAGACAGATAGTTACATAACACAGCATAGGCTGTTGTAAACTGATTGTTCCTGGATTAGTTTACATGTTCAGTACCCACAAGGATATTGTCTGGAGTTATGTTACAGAGTAGTTCAATTGGGTCAGTTTTCCCAAACTACATGACATGTGAATTGGAACAAGTCAATTAGCTGAAAAGCTGCCAGTGCCAATTTTGGTTTCATAAAATCATTGAATGGTTTGTTCTGGAAGGGACCTAAAAGATCATCTATTTCCAACCCATGCTTCACCTCCCCTCCAGCCCCACCACGGATGCCACCACTTGATCAGGTTGCTCAGGGCCCCATCCAACCTGGCCTCAAACACTTCCAGCCATGGGGTACCCACATGCTCCAGTGCCTCACCACACTCACAATAAAGAATTTATTCCTAATGTCTAATTTAAATCTCTCATCTTTTACTTTAAAACAGTTTCCCTCTTGTCCCATCACTATCTGCCCATGTAAATCTCCCTCTTTTTATAAGCCCCCTTTAGGTACTGGAGGGCTGCAATGAGGTCTCCCAGAAGCTTTCTCTTCTCCAGGCTGAACAGCCCCAACTCTCTCAGTCTGTCTTCACAGGAGAGGTGTTCCAGCTCTTCAGTCATCTTCATGGTCCTCCTCTGAACCCACTCCAACAGGTCTACAGCTTTTGGATGAACCTGAAATATCCCAACCTCCCAATTTCAGGTTATTTGTGCTGCTTAAAAAGCAAGTAAAGGCAAACTCAAGTACTTTAAAACTATTATCACCCCTAAAAATCCTGACTCAGAGAGTCTTTTACGTAGCAATATTTTATGTTCTTGCCTGCTTTAGTAATCTCTCTCTTTCCTCCTGTGGAGATTCCATGTTCTTATCCTCAGCAATAATTTGATCTCGACGTTCCTTGAGCTCATGAAGCTTTTCATATAGATGCACAGCTTCCTGTTTCACTCCAGACTGTGCTATTTCCTGTTGGGAAAAGCAAACACCTACCAGCTATTTTCAGATGGCAAGAGAGCACTGTAGAAATTATGCTTTAGTTAGGCAACACTTATCTATACAGTGCAAGTAAAGTTTATTTCTTACAAAAAAGCTCAGAGATGGTATAAAAATAAAATTTAAAATCTGTATAGTCAATATTGCATTTTCTACAACAGAATATCCCAATTAGTTACTTCTTGCTTTATGAATTCATCTTCAGGCCAATTTTCTGAGTAGATTTACTACTTTACCATTTCTAGGGGATTTCAAACCATATACAATATTCAAAAGGACTGAAAAATGTCTAATGGTACCTGTAAATTATACTTTTTGACAGTATTTTTCTGCTCAGAGATCCTTTAATCCATGAAAGACACAATATGAGAACATTCTCCTTAATCTAGCAATATGACAGTGTATAAGAAGTGAACATTTATGTATATATATGGCATAAAAATATATATCATCTGGTACCACTTTGTGCTTCAAATGCCAATTGCTTTTGAACTGAAATGTGGAACAAGAAAATAATTCTCAGACATTCTGAAAATTGAAAACATATCAAAAAAATTTTTTTAATTAAGTCACAAGAATCCTTAAGAAGGATGTTAATGATAATTTAGAGGGTTGCTCTAAATCAATGAAACGCCACAGAAAACATCTGAAACTGTATGAGTTACTAAATCTAGGAAAGGTCACTACTGCTATCAAAATTTTGTACTTGGCATCTAGCAAAAAGAATTTTTACCCAAAACTGATTAGAAATTATTGGTGGAAAACAGAGAGGTAGCTTTGCCTTCCCATTCTAAAGCATGATCCGGCAATATCTGAAAATTTAGGGAAAAAAATTATAGGCATTTTTGTACTGTATTATTTTTTACACTAAAGTTCAGGGAAGATTGGTACAGAGACAACTTGTTATGATACATACAGCTCTTAGATTTTCTTCCTTTACATTTAATACATCCAGTTCCTGCTGTTGAACAAGCAATTCCTGAAGAGGCAACAAAATGCAAAATTCAGATAAAAATTATTACTTGATTACTTTTCAGTTCTTAACCTTAGTATTTATAAAATGCTGTAAATCATCCTATTGCTGCTCTCAAAAATTTTAAAGACAAGATTGTGTCCAGTTCCTTCAAGTAACTCAAATGTAATAACCACTTACTTTCAGCATCAAACTTTTCTATTACTCTTATCATTGTTATTTACAGTTGGGCTATGACTAAAAAATTGTTTGCCCTTTTTCTACCATCTTTTTCTTAAAATCAACAATGAGGGTGGAACTTATTATTTCTACTTCAGAAGTTTAGAGTCAGATTTTAAAACCTGAACTTGCCACCACCATTTCCTTAGGGTCCAGAAAGAGACAGGTAAGCCCTGACTACTGATTCAACTCATCCTAAAACAGCTGGGAAGCACCAGTATCATCTCTGCCTAGACTACACAGAGACATTTTAAGCCTGTATAGATCATGTCAGAGAGCCTAGAAATCTTACTCCTGTTGTTACCATTAGGATTAATGAAGTCACAAGAATTTTATAAAGCCCATTTAGTTTTTTCTGATACATTCAGACATACAATAATAACAACAGAAAAAAACCTAGTCAGATTCATTTCTGTACACAGGAAGAAAACTTTTTACTCAGGTGATCTACTTCCCTTTTGCTTGCTTTTTACACAAGATGAAACATAGAAGTATTGTAATGGCTTTTAAAATCTGCATGTGAGTTCCCAAATTTAAAAGGAAAATTAGGAACAGCATTTATTCTTAAACAAAGGATTATAAAAAGAAAGTACTTGGTCTTAGTCAATTGCTCTATTTATTTTCAGGTACTTTTACAATTGATTAAGACACCAGCAAGTTTTTTTTTATTGTATTAGTCTGTTGTCAACCTCTTTAGTACTTAAATCTAGAACCATTAAAGCCTTTTAAGAAATATTTTAGGTAAGTACAAGGAAACAAACCAACCTGGGAGAGTTTTTCATTAGCAGCCTTCATCTCCATATATTTAGCTTGATCTTCCTGCGACATATCTTTTATTATGTCATCTGCCACAACCTTTTCATGTTCAATGTCTTCTTCTACAGTTTGAATTAACTTTTCTGTGCTGTAAAAATTTATTTGACACAGTGTTTGTGTATCAGTATAATTCCTTTTTCCCTGAATATATATATATATGCTACCAATCATAGCAAATAAAATTTGTTTTTAGAACTTCTTCCTGAAACATAGCCCTTACAATAAATGTCTTATGGCACTTGCAATTCTTTGTAAATAAGGAGCTTTATGTATCACACCCTGCAGCTCCTCTGATGATGCTTCCAAAACACAAGAATTAACACAGATTTAACTAACTACTAGAGAACTTTACTTCAGTATGCAAATACCTTCACATTTTCCTCATCTGATGAATGATCACATAAAAAACGCACGTCTTTTTCTGTCTCCAGCATTTCTTTAGTTGACTATAACTCAACTTGCTTGTAAATTACCTATGGCACTTTGACTCAGTGCTTCCTCTACGATCTGGAACTTGACACTTCAGCATACTACTATTAGACATTCCTATTGGCTGCAGATCCAATTAAATCCAAGACAATTATAAGAAGTTGCTCAACTTAGTCAATCTTTTGCTAAGGATTTTCTAGGTTTATTATTTTTTTACACTGCCTGGTTATTCATCAAGTACAAAGGTTGAAGCAAAACAAAGTGCTGTTTCACCATGTTATTTCTTGTCAGTGCATTGAAAAACCCACACATGCGTACATATGCTGCCTTTAAGAAGCAACAGAAAGGTAAGACACTTGGCACATCTAATTAAAAATGCAGGAAAGGATTTATTAGTGTAACTTGGATGCAGTCTGGAATAAAATATTTCTCAAAGCTTTAGGAATTACTATGAACCTTGGACATGCCAAGTTGTTAAGTACATTGTACTTCATTAGAAAGCTGGGGAACAGTCTCTGGACCGACTATCCAATCACATAAACACTCTTACTTTATCTATTAAATAATAAAATCTTCAAAGTTCTCAGAGGAAATTTTTTTAAGAAAGCACTTCTTATTACAAGAAAATGTCAAAGTATTACCAATGTATTTCCAGTTTCTTTCCATAGCAATTAGTTTAAATAGCAATCCTCAAAGTCTGGTTCTAGTAAAAAGCTAAACTGTAACTAAAATTACAGATGCTTTCCTGTTCTTCTACTGATTATATAGATTCACACACACAAAATGCAGGAAATCACATTTGTAAAAAAACCTTTAAGCTTTCAGTAGAAACTAAAGTAAAAACTAGGAACTGTTTTTCACTAAGACATATGTACAACTTAAATTTTCAACTTGATTGTTATTAACTTATGGGTTAACTTTAAAAATAATGTTCAATATATTTTCCCTGCTCTATTAAAACAGTTCTTTTCTTAAAATCTCTGAACTGCAACATTACCATTAGTCTGTATTTCTACATTACCAGGTTAAGACCTGCTCTGTTTCTGAACAGAAGCAGTGCCTTTAAGGACCAAATACCCCCTAATATCCAACTATTAAAATAGTCAGTTCAGGAGTTCTCAAACTGCATCATGTTTTCCACTAGCAATACACAAACTGGCTTCAAAAATATACAGGCCACCAGTACCATCACTGACAAGAGCAATACCTATGGCAGGACATAATTCCATAGCGGCTGCTGCTTATCCCTTGTCCCTGATAATGGATAAAAGGCAAAAAGGTTCATGAAGTCTTTTTGTATTTAATGTAAGTTTCCAACAGAAGTAGAAATACACAATGGATCAGAGCAGAGTAAGTGGCATTTATCTTCCTCTTCTTTCCTAGAAGTTATATCAGGTCTTCGGGCTGATTCAGTTAGGTGAATGAGGTCAATCCTCGGCAGTGCAAATATATAGAAGCTATTAAGTGACTTGATCAATTTGTTCTGTGACCTCATCTATTCCATTCTGATCAGCAAAGGCCTCCTGGAACTTTCCTTATGGACGGTGGAGTTTTTTAAAATCTGACTGGCCACCTATATTTAGCACTGTTCATGCAACTAAGCTTCTTTATGCAATTTCCCCCACTCTTTTCTGTTAAATTCAGTGAAAACTCTATACAACTCAAGACACAATAAGCATTTTAAGCAAGTACCTTACACTCTAACTTTCAGGTCTTTTTTACTCTGGAAGATATAAGTCTTGGAAGGAGATACTGAGATTCACTTAATCCACTGTCTTTTCAGATGTTTAAGAAAAAATGCAAAAATTAAACATTAATCTACCTTTTACGTAACATTTCCATTCTAGCATGGCATAAACAGGGACTGATTTTACATCTGTCAGACATGGTTCAAAACAAATAGATCCTACAAATAACACCTAATTCAAAAGGAATAATGACTGCCACTTTCTCTGGGAGATGTTTATGTTGCAGTGAAACTGTGTAGGAAATTTGTAGGAACTTTGCTGAATTTCAAAAAGTAAAGCTCAAATCTCTACAAAACCTCCATCACAAGAGATTGAACCGTGTTTACTTAGTGCAGTACACAGGTCCAGGTTTATGTCATATATGCTACGTTGGGGACAAAAGAGAGATTAAAATACCAATCTACTAATTAAAAATTCACAAAAAATGCTTAATAACTTATTTAAGAATATAAAAGAAATCTGACTGGACAAACCAACCATCTACCTACTACAGTATTCTGCCTCTGTCAGTGGCAACAAGAGAAATTGTTTAGGGAGAGCACGCCAATCTGAATACTTTCTGCAGTTTATGTCTGTCACAGTCTTCCAGTACCCACAATGGCTTTATCAGGGATATTAATAAGTACAGCCCTGCCTATTCATTTTACAGATTTATGAAACTTTTACCTATTAACTTGTCTAACCAATCCCTTTTTTATTACTGATACAGTTTGCTTACTAGATTTTAAGTTTGGCCCAACTAAGGGAAAGCTGAATTCATTAATTCTGATAGCCTCTGTTTTTCTGCTTAATTTTGCATTTTAAAGTATTCATGTAGAAAAAAAAGTATTAAATTATCATTGCAAAAACTATACTTATTAATTTATTAAACTACCACTACAGTAGACACTGGTATTCTGGTCTTGGTACACAAAAGTGTTGTTTTTTACTAGGCCTTAAACATGAAACATTCTTGGCTTGTGGTCTGGGTTGGAATACTGTTTTTGAATCCAGTGACTGCTGACTGCAACATTACTTCCCAAACTGTAAGTTTTATGTGGATGTGAACTACCCTTATTTTTGAAAGACACTCTTGAAATAGAAGGTGTTTTAAAAACTATTGCATAAACATAAAATTCCTGAGGAAAGAAGTATAAAACGACAAATAAGAAGTGGTTTTTTGAGAAACGGACAATTAACTGATGGCAGTCATTGTAAGTGGGTGAATTATAAACATCTGAGATAATTTTATAGCTCAGACAAATTCCTCCACAGACAACAGGAATGCCTCCTGTACACACGTAAATAAATCTACTCTTTTCAGAAAACATAAGTATTTCAAGGTATTGGGAGTAAACATTCCAATCTGAAAAGACTGCAGCTATGCTAAACTTCAACACAGAAAACTAAGATGAATTTAGGTGATATAACAAAAACTTATAATAATGTTTTGTTGAGGGTCTGCTCTACAGATGTTTTAAAGACTAGAGTTTTTTAAACAATACATTTTAAAAGGTGTATTTGAATTAATTTTCAGAACAAAATTCCTCTATGACACCCTTCCAGATTATGTGGGAAAGAAATCCTTTTTCTACCCAATTAAGCTTCACTTCAAATTTTAAAACAGACACCCCTATTAATTCCAAAATAGCATGTCATACTGGTTATATTTTGGATGACCATCATAGAAAGAGCCTTGCAGCTCAGAGTTAAAGCACTAAGTTGTTAGGAACTTCAGGTCTCTATCCAGTATGATTAATTCTCCTGTATCACCAGACCATGAATTAATTGAGAAAGACATAAATAAAACTGCATGAGGAACAGTAGAACTTTTCTTTTAAAGTGGCAGCATTAAAAAATACAAGACTGTATTTGCCTTTAATGGTCATCAATGAGACACCTTCATTATCAGACTTTTCTACAGTATTTAATTGTCATCATTCTCTTTTTTTCAACAGGTCATTTGTGAGGAGTCTGGAAAGAACCTCTCTAATATCTCCACCAACCTTTCTCAAAACGTTACTAAACTAAGCCTCAAAAACAACAAAATCACTTTAAACGATCGTGACAAAGAGATTCTTGGACATTTTATTAACCTCACTGAACTTCATCTGAATGAAAACAGGATTACTCAACTGCATAAGAACAGCTTTTGCAATCTGAAAAAACTTATATATCTGGACATCAGCAACAATCATATTAGCACAGTTCATAAAGCAGCATTTGCAGGATTAAATCAACTCTCAGTGTTGAATCTATCCTATAACATGATTGCTCAACTAGATTCAGATGCCTTTACTTCTCTAGAAAGCCTGACGGTTTTAAATCTACAGTATAACTTACTGAACTATTTTCATATAAAATCATCTTTTAAATTGATTAAAATTGTTTTAGCTGGAAACCCATGGATCTGCTCCTGTGACCTCCTTGACTTACAGATATGGCTAACTGCCTCCAATGTTACGTTGGGTAAGTTTTGGTAAGAGAAGCACTTCACACTTGTTTACACCAAACAGTTTTACCTTTCCTTTTTTCTGCTGTGGGTAATATCCACCACCAACTTATCCTCATTTTGCAGTAATACAATAGCTATCTGTGAGATTTTTTTTAGATGAGAATGCCAAAATGTTAACAATATCTCACAGCCTTTTCACTGCTCATGTTCACAGAAAATGAAAGCAACACTACATGTACATTACCAACCAAGGAAAAAATCTCCATCAAGATGGCTATCCCTATCCAACCAGCTGACTGCAAAATTGAAAAAACTGCTTTAGAAAACACTGTAACTTCCACTCCTGTCATTAACCTTAGAAGCAGTGCCTTAATAACAGCTCTGACTCCAAACATCACTGGAAACAATGGAACACGTGCAGGTAATAGACAGATGCTTCACTTTACTGCTTTTAAGATGTTTGATTTTGCTGTTCCATGACTTCATACCATTTTCTATTCCTAGCACACTCTCATTTTCCATAAAAATCCAGAGCCAGAGAACAAGCATATTTCCAGGTTCTGCTAGACAGTCCCACACATTACGGTAAATGTTAAGCTCTACTCGTTAAGTGTTCAAAACGGGTAAACCACACAATTTCCCAAATGATATTGAAAAATGATGATGAGATTTCAAAGCCCTGAAATTCAAATAATTGTCTAGATCTCTGCCTAACAGAAGTAGGAAGCAACTTAAAAAAATATAATTTTTCAAAAAATTTTACTCCTGCCCTCAGCTGTGTCCCTTTTAAAGGACATGGATATGCCCATCACACATTCTTTGGAAATTTCAGTAATAGTCTCCTCACCTTTCTATGTTAAGTCCATCATTATTCTCCAATACTCTAGTTTGGCTTTTGGCAAAGCATCTGTATCAATATACAGATAAGCCACCACTGCCACATATTTCTTTAACTGTACCAGGCTATAATCTATTTTAGAACTGTGGCAGGCACACAGAGCCAGCTTCTAAATAAAGACTAATGGCAAGTACAGTTTACTGACATTTTGCAATAGAAGAAACACAATTGAAGGGATATGCCAAACAAAAGACATAATATTTTAGGGTGCAGACATCATCCCCATACAGAAAATTAAGCCTGGAAAATAGAATTTGAAGTCAATTACTGATCATTTTTTTCCAAAGCCTAATTTTTGTACTTACATTTTGGAAAAAAATTATTATGTTATCTTAAATATGTTCCTGGAACTTTATCTGGCTTTGAAACTATTATTTTTTATAAATATGCATAGGAGATTTATATCACTAGGAAATGAGATGCACATATATTTTTGGTCTCTGTGATGTTACTGACTCCTTAATAGCATAGCAATAACATTATATCAAAGCTCTGCAGACACTCTGTAATTCTCTATCATTGTTTATTTTATGAGTTCTCAATTTGACTATGAAAAAAAAAAAACATACTAAAGCCCTCACTAGAATTCCTCATGAAAATTACTCTCCCTTTTTCCTGTTTGTTTTAAAGAGTTACCACTTCTTGGCAAAAGTTGGACCTTCCTGGCGGGTGTCCTAGGGTTTGTCCTAGGCACTACACTCCTGATTTTTACTGCTGTAAAATGCCCAGCATGGTATCATTACGTGATCAGCTACCGACACCGTCGTCTGGAAGAGAATGACCCAGAGAGGTTTGAACAGGAGTTCTCAGCTGACATGAGTCCTTCTCCTTCAGTACTGCGTACAAACAGTGAAGAACCCATTGTGATCTTTGAGAAAATTCCGGCATTTGGGGATGGAGAAGATGGATTTATTGAGGATAAATACATTGATTCTTATGTAAATGAGGAGAGTTAATGCCTTAAACAATGGATAATGGCACTGACTTTTCAAAAATGCAGAACACTTGTACTTCCATTTTACACTGCTCATATGCAATACAAAATGAAGTTATGCAGTCTATCTCCTTTCATCTCGTCAAATCTATAACAAGGTTTTGCTGCATCAATCATGAAGTTAAAAAATGTGGTGATGTGCACGCATTACCAGCATAACAAATACTTCAAAACACATAAAAAATACAATCCATGTTTTATGAAAATCTATTTGGCAGGGCATGGGGAATGCTTACTGTATATTGCTTAACAGGAACAAGTCTTTAAAAAGTAGCAAGTGAAGCCGGCATAATCACTAACGGTTTAGTTGTGAAGAGGTCCAGAAAAGAGAAATAATTTCTCTAAAATTTTGAAGCAGACCACAGTCAGACTGGGTGGGGATTGAATCCAAATCAATGTTGTCACAGCTCAGTACTCTATTAGCCAAAACCAACACAGTCATACAATACAGCATTAGGGTATTGCTGTATCTAAATTAGCAGAGTAAGAAAGACCAACTGCTGTGTTCCCTTCAATGTGTACATACAGTACAATGACAAATTAACATTATAGCATATCTAATGCCTGTATACCTCAGTGTGCTACTGAACCAAGTACTTTCTCTTCAGATTTCCTTGACACTTTAAAAATGTATTCATCGGCAGAACAGACCCACTTGAGAGCCGTTGGAAGTAGTAGTATAGTTGAAATGTGACTTGTTATAAACTGGTAAACTGTTTTTTCCAAGTGCTTATTGATATATAAAAACCTCATTCTTGAGATTGCTTTCAGTGGCAACAAGCAGAATCATGTATCTACCTTCTGCACATTTCCTGTCCCTAAATCAAATATCTCAAAAAGTCACTATCTTAAGTTTTTCACTACACAAGACATTCTCCTGGCTCACATATTCCTATTGGAAAGATCTCACCATCCTCATCTTTCCCCCTACACAACCCTACCTTACCAGATATGTAAAGATCTAATTCCCACTTCTGCTTGCTTTTCCCTGTTACTCCACAACAAAACTCCAAAACTGAGGACTTTGACAGCAGCTTGCAAAAGACAGGAGTCTCCACTGCCACCTAACTCTTCCTGTATCTCCAGGGTAGTTACTGGAGTTTAAAGCTAGGAACTCTAGCTGTAACCTGGCACTGATGCATCACATTGAAATTGTTCAGGTATCACATGGGATATGCATCCCATTCTTGAGGTAAGAGGTAACACCTCCATTTTCTGGAATTCAGATATGATTTCAACAGCTTTAGAGAAGCATGTCTTAATGTACTTACTTTTGTCTTTCTGTGAAAATTTTATCCATACTCTGAGCGTCTTGGTCATTCTGTACCTTTAACTTAAAAAATATAATATAGAAATACAATCAAGGTTGTAATAAATCATATAACCATTTAGGCTGGAAAAGACCTCCAAGTCAAGTCCAATCCTTAATCCAGCACTGCCAAGTTCACCATTAAACCACATACCTAAGTACCATATCTATGCATCTTTTAAATACCCCCAGAGAAACTGATTCACTTACTACTACTGTGGGACCTATTCCTGGAGCACTTAGTAAAGTACTGCTTCAGCGTCCAGACAGAATGAAAATTTAATACTTGCAAAGCATTTTTCTCTTCCTGACACAGACATTGTGGTGTTTTTTTTTTTTTTTTTAATCAGGGAACAAAGAAGTTGTTTTGACAAAGAAATATTCAGATAATTTTTCAAGAGACCAAAACAACTTGTTCTGAAACTAGATTCTTTTCTTTATGGACAAAGGGATCATAAGAAACGAAACATGCTTAATGCCATTCATGTCTTAACACTAAGAGAAACACTATACCTGCTCTAGAAAATAAAGAATGGACATAAAGGAAGAACAAAGCTCATTGGTTTTGTGGTTGGCCATGTCAGAGACCTATTTAATACTCATTACACGGGAGACATTTAAAAGGCTGAAGACAAAAGAGAATTAAATGGTCAGAAGACCAGTCAGTTTTAAAAGGCAGTGCAGTCTACCTGAATGACTATCACTAGTGCTCTGTGCTCCCAGGAACAGAAACACGTTTTAACAATCATAATTTGGGTTAGAATGACACCCTTCTTAAATCTAAACTACAGGCAACTATTATGGGTCAGTAATGCAATACTTCAGACAATTGCCTAATTACAAACATGTTGCCAACATTATGAATAATTTAACTGGAAAAACCAGGTAAGTTTTAAATGAGTGCTGTGCTTTTTCAGATATGTCATGCATCCAAAGCACCAAGAATGCAACACACACCATTTCATTGTTAAAATATAGCAAATACCATAATTCTTACCATATTGGAATTGCGAATCACTTCTGTCATATCTGTACTCGTGTTAAGTATATCGATAACCTGAAATGAGATAGAATTCCAGCCTACTATTGCTCCAAATAAACAAGCAAAACCCAGGCATACTGTTCATGAAAACAAAGAAATTTTCAGTTATTGCAAATGGAAGAACTGTGATTTGGGAATCTGAACAGATTACGTGTCTTTTTAAAAAAATAATCATCATTATATGTAGCTGTTCTAAACCCTGAAATACTTCACATCAATTTCTGAAATCCACAGGCAGTGGTTTCTCCTAATGTACAGTACACTTCCCTTTTTTTTTTAATGTTTTCCTTAGCTTCCATCTCTTTTCTCTCCAATAACTGAAGAAAGGCAGTATTAACCAGTACATTTTTATTGAGAAATGTCGATAAAAAGGGTGCTGAAGTAAAGCAAAAGCAGTACAAAGTAAATGAGAGAATAAATGAGAGAAGGGAGAGCATTCAGTATCAAAATTTGACATCAGCATACCATGTTGAAGTCTGCTAGTTGACCTTGAAACTCCTTGATTTCACCAGCTAATGCCTCTGCCCTAAATACAAAACAAAAAGTTAAGGTGAAAGGTTTGTATATGTAAAAATAAAAAAATAAAAAAATGAAAAAAATAAAATGAAAAAATGAAAAATATTATTTATTAGTTTCTTGAAGCCTGCCCAATACTCAAGAATAGTCTTGTGACTGAGCAAGTCAGCATTGCATTAGCTGCAATACATCTTACCGTTTCTCATATGACAAATAGACAGATTTCTCTTGCTTGTACATTTCTACTTCTTCCTGAAGCTTGTTAATTTCTGTTGTGAGTTCATTTGTTTTGCTTCTGAAAAGAATAAACAAAAAATCATTAACAATTGGATGTACAACTAAAACACACCTAGAATAGATAACATATTTTACTATAGGAGATTTACAATTAGTATCTCACTGCACTGTACTGTTTCTAATCAGCATTTCAAAGAAGAGCTGAATAAGTGAGGAAAAAGGTAAAGTGGGTGTATTAGATGAAGTTATAAGAAGTTACAAGTTGCTAGAAAACCTTGATGTCAAACAGAATATTTTAATAAGCTTTTTGTCCCTGTTGGTGAAACAGGTGTGAATTATTCTCAAATGGACTGAAAGATCCCCACAGGATACCTTCACAGAATGTGGATATCATTCATATTTAAAATGACATCTTTTAGGACTAATTATTCAAACCTGCATTATGATCAACTGAAAAAGACCCATAGGCAACAGTTTCCACAAGGTCTTGCCATCGTCATTGTTAGCTCAATGTATAATCCAAGTGATGTACAGTTAAAAGTGTTTTGTTTGCAATGCTACTTACAAATGGAGCTATTGGACCTACCAAGCACTACAGGTGGAAGCTCAAAATCACTGACTCTCTTCTTGCTAATGCTGTGGGAGTGCATTTAACTTAGCAAGCCTAACAACAAACCGTTAAAGGAATCTGCTTGTACTTGGACATAAGCATGAAGTTCCTTTATTCCTACAAACTATATGCAGAACAACCTTAACTGTTATAGCAGGACTCCTGTAACAGTTCAGCGTAAGCGAACACCACTTGTCCCACTTTATTGTTAAGCTTAAACTCTGTGTCTGAAAGAGAACAGGGCACTAAATCTGCTGTAGTTGGAATGTATTGTAAGCACGTACCTCAGCACCCCGAGGTAATATGTTTTATCCATTATCTGTCTCTGAGGACCTGATAAAGGAGAGTAATATGATGGCTTGTTAGAAAAAAACTAATTCTGATGAACTGTAAATTATGAAAACAATTTGAAAAATGCACAGGCAGAAAACTGTTATATTTTAATGTCCTTAAATAGATATCAAAAGAAAGACGGTATTTTTAGACAGTTCTGAAGATAAACATTACTGTTACAATATAACAGAATATTTTAATTAGTCTGCAGTTGAAGAAGATGCAATTAATCTTGTTTTATTATTTTGAATTATTTTAAATCCGCTTAAATGATTTTTAAGCTCAGAAAAGCCTTTGTCCTCTCTGAGGAGAATCAAGAGCAATGACAATAAAAGGGATGCTTTAACCTTCATTTTCTTTCTTGTGCTCCTTTTAATCACAAGTATTCATTCTGTAATTTACACAGCAATGAAAAGTTTCCTTTAAACACCTGGATATTCCTTTAAAACACCTGCAGATATCTCGAGAACTATTTTCTATACAAAATACCTTTCATTGGAGTTTTTATTCCACTTAATCCTTGTTGAGTCACTGGACGGTCTGCAACTTTAATCTGAGACGATAAAACTCCTCCAGCAGTCAAAGAACCACCACGAGAACCAGGTCTTGCTGTACTAGGAGGTATCTACAAAAAAAACAAAGCCAAACGACAAACCTCCCAAGACTGAATTATGAATTTATTACCTTGTGCAATTGCCAAAGCAATCAAAAAGATCAGTCAGTCTCTGCACTCATTCTATATGAATCTTTTCGCATTTACAAGGAAACAAAGCTGTATAAGGGTAAGGGATTACCTGTGAGCAGCTGTTCATTGTTCCATCTGTTTGCAACATTAATGCTATTAAGGTCTCCCACGTGAACTTTCGATGCTGGACCTCCTTAACCCCTTTCAGTCAAGAGTAGAAACCAAAAACTTCTACAAAATTAAAATCTAAAAGTTCTTACTAAAAAAACCCTCCATGACTCCAGTCATGGTACCAAAAAGAAAGAAAGAAACAAAAAAGGATAAAAATCTAAATATATCGAAGTCAATAATAAATGTTTTTAACATACCGCTGTTCCTATTCTGGCTGCTGCTGGAGTCCGTGATGAAGAGGGAGGCCTTGAGGTCAGCCCTGTTCCTGCTCTTGAGGAAGACCGAGCCACTGGAGGTCTGTGACCGCTGGACATTGTTGGTTGGTTTTCAGCTTCTCTCCGGAAAGAAGAGAAACGGTCCTTTGATTTGCACGAGGTCCTTACAACTCTTGCTTAACTCTTTTCCTTATTACAGTAAGTTTAGGGGTTTTTTTTGGTGGTTTTGGTTTGGTTTGGTTTGGTTTTTTTGACTCTGCAGAGCACTTGTTGAGTGGTCGGTACAGGGCAGCGACAGGGCTCAGGAAGGACCGTGGGTGAGGTGAGGCACCAGTCACTTCTCAGTGCTCAGCCAGCTCTCGGCTTATCCGTGTGGCGTTTAGTGCCGCAGTATCTGCCCACAGAACGCAAGTTTTTTTCACGAAACAAACTGGAAGCGAGCGGCTGTCGCAAATGCCGCCAGTCACCGAGGCAACCGCGCTACCCCCGATGGATTAAGTACATTATATCCGCTACACAATCCCGGTTCCTTACCCACCCCCCCTCAGCCGCCTCCCGCCGCCCCTCAGAGCCGCTCCCGCCCCGCCGGCCCCGGTCCCGGCCCCTCACGTCGCCGCCGTATCGCAGCAACGGCGCGCGCCGCTATCGCGAGGGGCGCGAACCCCGCCGCGGCCGCGACTACAACTCCCAGGGAGCATCGCGAGGCAGGCGCGCCGTCGGCGCACGCTGCGTGGCGCGGTGCCTGCCGGGACATGGAGTCCCAGGGCGCCATAGAGGCGCGCCCGGTGACGGCGCTTCCGGCGCGGTGCGGCCGTGCTGTGTCAGGCGGGCGCTGCCGCCATGGCGGGCGAGGGAGGCGCGTTCCGGCTGCGCTGCTCCCTGCTGGGGCACGGCCAGGACGTGCGGGGCCTCGCCCGCGGCCTCTTCCCGGAGGGCGGCTTCGTGTCCGTGTCGCGGGACCGAACGGCGCGGCTCTGGGCCCCGGACGGGTGAGTGCGGGGCTGCTGCGCGGGGCGGGCCCGCTCCGGCCGGCGCCCCGCGGGAGGAGGGCGCGGAGGTGGCGCCACCGGGGACCCGCCCGAGCCCCACCGGGGAGGTCTCCGCGGCCGTGTCCCCCCCAGGGGCTGAACCGGCGGGTCCGGGGCAGGCGGCGGGCGAGGGGAGTCTGTTCTGGAGGCGCCCGTGTGTGGCATTGTCGCTTGCACGGAATAGCGGGATGAGAAAGGGTTGGAAGGGGCTTTAGAGTTCATCTGGTCCCATCCCCCCTGCCATGCACAGGGACACCTTTCACTAGACCAGGCTGCCCAAAGCCCCATCCAACCTGGCCTTGAACGCTTCCAGTGATGGGACATCCGCAACTTCCATGGGCACCCGGTTCCAGTGCCTCACCAGTCTCAGAATAAACAATTCCTTCTAGCTTAAGTTTCCCCTCTTTCAACCTGTACCAATTACTCCTTGTCCTACCACTACAGTTCGTGATGAACAGCCTCTCTCTGGCTTCCTGAAGGCCCCTTCAGACACTGGAAGGTTGCTGTCAGGTCTCCACACAACCTTCTCTTCTCCAGGCTGAACAGCCCCAGCTTTGACATGCCTGCTCTTGGGGAGGTTTTATACAGCAGTTAGCTGCGGATCAATATTCCAGCCTACTTTGCAGATGATAACAATGCCAGTAAATCTGGGCGTCTTTTTCCGGGTGGTGTCAGTAATGTTGTTTCCACCTCACAGTATTCAGTGCCAAAGTATTCCTGCTAAGTTTTGCCAGTAAGGCAGTATGCTTTGAGTGTTTTAAAAAACCCATCTTTTCTTGTCCTTGCTGAGCAAACTCCTTTTTGAACATAAAAAGGAATATGAACTAAAAACTGCACAGGAAGTTTAAATACACAAAGGCATTTAAAAATGAAAAACACATTCGGTTTTTTGATATTCATGTTGCACGGGGCTGTCTCCTACTGAATTTGCCGTGTTGAATTCACTAAGTGAATTTTTCAGAATATTGTAGTGACCAGAAGCAGCACTGCTCAGCAATGTGCTTAGCAGAAGACACAGGATGTACCTCCTCTTCTGACTGTGGTTTCAAATTGTGAACTGCATTCTGAGGCTGCTAGGCAGCTTCACTGCCCTCCAGTAAAACAGTTGGTAAATTTGCTGAAAGCTTACATGTGTCTTTATGCTGATCTCTGCAAGTGAGGTGAAGGAAGACTAATCTCATTAAGTGTGTCTTGTTAAGTCTCCATCACAAAGGAAAGAAGTTGTCAAATTGCACAGAAATTTGCAGCAGAAAAGGAAGTCTTAATTCTAACCCATAATTTTTGGCGACTCTGTGAGGAAGACATGAGTAGCTTATGTGGAGTCATAGCGTTGGTAATGATTATCTTTCTCTGCCCTGAAGACTTGGGGATTACAGTAGCCAGGGCTGAGTGAGTAAGCACACTGCTGTATGCTGGTTTTGTTGTTTAGATTTGCCAGGAAGATGTGTTGCCTTCACTGGTTCTCTGTAGCTTCAGTGGATATTTTAGAATTTAGAAGAATGTAGTGATTTTCTTACATATTTCAAGCATCAGACTATGAAGGATGACAGTATGATATGTTATGTTTTTTGAAGGTGGGGCAACAATCACAGAAGAGAAAAAAGAATAACCAAAACAAACCAAACACACAACCTGTATGTTTATTCTGTGGGAACAAGTAGGTTCTTTCAGTTAGTCTATAACTATTGAGTTTCACTCAGGGTGAAGAAATGAGGGTGCTGCTTGAATCAGTTATGGTCTATTTAACTTTTAAACCTCTACAGTGCTTCTCATGAAGAGGCAGTTTAAAGATTTGGCAGGCAGTAAACTTTCTTCATTTATGTGCTCTGTTATTTTAGCTTGTATTGGGGTACATATTTGAGTCTTAAGACAGCAAAAGGTTTTGTAAAGCAAACTGTAACTGTTTTTAATCACATTTGGCATAATGTTTGCCAATGAGCAAAGGAAAACAAAAACTTAAGTCTTTCCAGGCCTACCACTACTGAAAAAGAAGTGTAGAGCTTTAAGTGTTGGCTACTGGGCAGGAATGCTGGTATCGTATTTCTCTTGGCTTTTTGATTCTTTCTAGGCCATCTGTAGTATTTATTTAGCACAATGCAAGCATATTTATTAATTCAAAAGTTGTATTTACTTAAATAAAGTACTGTTTCTGTCATGACTTAACTGATTGTCTCGTGTGTTTAGTCTTAACAGGGGGTTTACTGAAATGCACTGTATGAGTGGCCACTCAAATTTTGTATCTTGCGTGTGCATCATACCTCCAAGTGACCTCTATCCTCGTGGACTGATTGCAACTGGTGGCAATGATCATAATATTTGCATTTTTACAGTTGATAGCACAGCTCCTCTTTACATCCTTAAGGGTCATAAAAACACAGGTATGTAGTAATTTTATTTTGGAGTTTTTTGCATAAAAGTTAACATGATTTATTAGAGAGGAAATTAAGTTGAATTTATAAAACTCAATTTTGATTTATTTAGTACATAATGTAGCAAACAATGATGACCTCTGCAAACAGGATTTTATAATCTTCATTCATGCAGTGACCATTCATGGCAAGGACTTCCAAGTTTATCCTGATGAATGCTTGGACTTTTACTGCACATGTGAACTCATGGCAGTTTACAGAATGATTACCCTTTTGCCAAGGGCTACATTTTTAAAAAGCAGTTGATTCTTCATGTATTAAGCTTAATTTTTATGTCAAAGCTGATAGAAGCAGAGAAAGTCAGCTTCCTAAATAAACTTTCTCTGCCCATTTTGTTACTTAGACAGGGATCTAATATTAATTGGTAGTTTAAATGCGTAGTTTTATACTGTTGCTGGAGCATTTGCAGATTATCTTTTTACTGAATCTCTAAATGTCACCAGTTTCTTGGTAGTGGTAGTGGTGGTAGTAGTTTGCCTTTCAAGCAAACTAATTTTTTTTTTTTAATGAAATCTTGCTTCTTGAGGACACAAATTAACACCTGTTGCTAAAAACTTCGCTTTCTCTGACATCTTAAAAACTAAACCTTTGCGTTAATTCTGTGTTTTGACTAGTTATCTAACTTGTTTGTCATCATATTCTGATCTGAGGAGAAGAGGTCTGGTACTAAAAGAAATTTAAAAATATGAATGGCAAAAATATTTCAGATTTTGTAACCTAAAGTTAAGAGATTTTGAAGTAGCTTCTTTCTAGTTTGCAGTGCAATACAGTTCGCCAAACTTCTCAACACTAAATCAGCTATTGATACCAAGTAAATCTCCTTAAGTAAATCTCTTTAAATTGCTGGCATGAGATTTGTGGCAATGCAGGACACTTGTCAGTTCTGACTTGAATGTTCATTCCAGTTTGCAGCCTTTCATCGGGGAAATTTGGCACATTATTAAGTGGATCATGGGATACAACAGCCAAGGTGTGGTTGAATGACAGATGTATGATGACATTACAGGTATGAAGTTCCTCTACATGAATATAGTTGTATACTCTGAATTTGAATTTGATTCTGACAATCTGACAAGTCTAACAAATGTTGGGTTTTTTTGCAGGGTCACACAGCTGCAATATGGGCAGTGAAAATACTTCCTGAACAGGGATTAATGTTGACTGGTTCAGCTGACAAAACTATAAAACTGTGGAAGGCAGGCAGATGTGAAAGAACATTCACTGGTAAATGTTGCTGTTGTTCGTAGCTTCATTAGGGTAGTGTGTTCTTTTAAAAAGAGAAAAAACCAAAATATTAAAACCTTACAAATCGTGGATAAATTAAACAGTACTTGGGCAGGATTTTTAAAGTCTTTGAAGTTGTATGCCCAGAAGTCACATGATTTCTGAAGGAATAAGATTTTTTATGAGAATGTTGAGCAATTTTTTTAAACTCCTCCCATAATGAAGATTGGTTGCCTGGATTTAGATATTACATAAATAGAAATGGTGTACTGCTGCTAACAGAGAGAAAAACTGCATTAAATTTTTCCTTTCTTTTATAAAGGACATGAAGATTGTGTGAGAGGTTTAGCTATTCTCAGTGAGACAGAATTCCTTTCCTGTGCTAATGATGCTAGTGTTCGAAGATGGCAGATCTCTGGAGAATGTCTGCAGGTGTACTATGGACATACAAATTACATATACAGCATCTCTGTATTCCCTCAGTGTGAAGGTAGGGTTACTTTTGTGACTGTTGCCCAACATGAAATGCAATGACAGGGTGGGTGTTCTGTAGTTGAACTCAGGTAGCATTTAATTTACTTCCTACATCTAGTGTAAATGGATTAAAAAAAGAAAGCTGTGCTTGACTCCAAATCACATCTGTGTCAGAGTTGCTCTGGCAGTATGTGGGATAAAAGGTCCTGGGTTATGGCTAATTGAAACCTTAAGTGAAACTTGGATGAAGCAATAGGCAAGACTGTTGTCTAATTTGCCACCTGTGTTTCATAACTATTGCAGAGGAGTAAAATAGTAATGTGTGGCTTACCAGTTTGAGATAATGAAAATGTAGATACTTTCACAATGTGCA